TTCGATTTTGTTCATAAATTCAATTCTAATTTACGTTTTCCCTATGTTTTCTCTCGTGACTTCAACTTTGCTCAGACGTGTTAAATGTCAATGTTGCACTGAAATGAATTTTTCACGTTGTTTGGGTTTTTCTTAAATGTCAATCGAAATATTCGTAGAATAAGGTTACAGTACTCCGAGCTTGTGTTCAGGGCTGGGGAGTCGATGAAATTTCACAATCAACTTCGATTCCGGATTGAAAATAAATTGACTCCAAATCCGGATTAAAAAAACTTTGACTCCGACTCTGAGTTGAGGAATATTTAGACTCAAGCTCCGAGCACAAAGAAAATCAAATTTTGATAAGAAAACCTTTGGCGTATGCCTTCTTTGATAGACTGTTAAAAAAGCTTAGTAAAATAAATTCCTTTTTGAAATTCGGTAGAAATGTTCTATTCTTTTTATAACCGTGAAGATTCTAAAATTCCGACTCCTGGAATTAAGCATTCCGACTCCGGTGAAAGTAAGCCAAAATCGACTCGACGGCCATGTTTATATCTGGTATTTTTTATATGACTTCGTCTTGCGGTATATTATTGTCCTACGTTTGTGAACATAGTGCCTTCATGGCTTTTAGCGATAATGGTTATTATTTATATTATCTCTACTATTTTTTGGATACGCCTTCGTTTTAGAGTTGATTGTTGTATTTCATTTCTGAACCTTTATAGCTTTTAACGATAATGGTTATTTATATTATGTCCATTGGTAATCAATTGTCCGTGGTAATTTCTATTCCTTCGATACATTCAAGCTTTAGGCTACCGATAATATTTCAAGTTGCGTTTCGTTTTTTTATATATTTTTGGAAATTCTTTCACGCCGCATTCCGTTTCGCATGAACAACATGTTTTTAGCGAATTTTTCTAGATTTACCAAGATCATTGTAACAAAAGAAAATAACAGGTTTGCTTGCCAAGTAGCAACTGCGAGAGTAATATAGCACTTGGGAAAGTCAATTTCGAATGAAATAACAGTAGTTGTCGAAATGCTAGGTTTCCCTCTATCGCGCATTTTTACAATATAGCATTTGGGTCGATTTTCTTGAGTTATCGTCTAATTTGAGATGACGTGTATTGAGTTAAGCAGGATTTAGTATATGATCTAGCGTGCTTACTTACGTACAGATTGTAAGATGATGATTATTTGTTCGGGGATTGTATATATACTTCAAGTCCGTGTATATGAATCGAATTACCAACTATATACGGTATTCCCATACCCGATATGGACTGTTAGCCGGATGAGAGGCCGTGATCTGTATCATTGAGCCGAGCCGTCTTATCAGCTTTCTTCTCCCCCGGGATGAAAATACCAAGACTCACTTTATCCTATATCATGCTTGATCAAATTTATTAATTGAGAACATAAATGTCGCAAAATTAAATTCTAACAATGTTATTTAATTTTGAAAACACAATGTTTCCCTGCATTTCGAAATCGTCCTTTTTATATGAAAGTTGTTCAACGCAACGCTGAAGCGTCTACAAATGTCAAAACTATGTAGGTAGAATTATTGGTACTCCCGTATTGTGTGTACGGTTAGGCCATAAGTTTATTCCGATTTTAGTTCTATTACGAGTTCGGGGACTGTTTGTGTTAGCCAAGTGAATATCCATCTCCCTGCCCATAGGTTTCAATCCCTTTGCACAACTTGATGTAAATTAGGCGAACAAAATTAGTTACCTCCGTATTGGTACGCACACTTCTGGAGCGCCGAATTATGGCGGGAAATTGCACGTTCGTAAAGCATTTCAAGTCAATACAATCTGGAAAAAACAATGAGATAGTGAATTAAAAATAAATGAAATTCCGCCAAAATCTTTTGACACGCTTCTTAAACGGCGATGTTAAATTAAAAGAAAAACCTTCGAGTTTCGGTTATTGATTCAATCAGAGTTTACCTTCCAATTAAAACCGAAACAGTATTTCACGATATTTGATTTATCATCCAAATTGATTTTTTAAAATCACCGCAACGTCGCGTTTTCTTTTAAAACAACCAAATGAAATTTATTATATTTATACTTCATAATGCATATAATACATGAATGACCTCATTTACTTTCGTTCGCATCATTTAAGCATGGCCCATCGATGCAACAAGTGTCTGTGACGTCATAGAAATATAATTACGCAAACCCGGCTGCTTTTAAACCATGTATTATGATGTAAGAGTCGTTTATATTATTTACACGAGCGCCTTTTTTTAACGTGAACATATGTTGCACATATATAGGTTGCAATATCGCAAAGCATATAGTTTCATTATGAAAAGTGTACGCTGGGGAAAGATTCATACATATATTTAAATTGCCGTAGTACATTTTTGAAACTGTCCCTCAATGTTTTTTGCATCAGTCTTGGTATATAATATTAAATATATTAACTTGATGTTTATTTCGACTTTATGATTAGCATATCAGTAAATAAAATATTAAAATGAAAACCAGTAAGTAATTAGAAAATCAAATCATCTTAGTTTATCTTTGAAAATAAATCAGTGTCAGATAATTAAAATCAATAATGAAGTTTTCTAATAGTTACTTTTGACTTAATTTCGTTTTATAGTGAAAAAACGTGCTTCATTTATCTAAGTAGTATGAATATGATAATCAACTATTCTCACCTTGCTTAGTAGATACAATTTGATTTAGGATTACTGCTGGACCTGCAAGCAATGTTGAGTAGAAATCTCTAAACCCCGAGTCACAGGTCATATGAGTGTCAAGTTGAGTTTGAAATTGAGTACATGATTGAGTTGATTGCTTGCTTCGAACTACCGTAATTATCATTAAAAACCATCTCAAAATAGACAAAAGTAGGAGTAAAATTAACAATGTTTAAAAAGGTAATAAATATTGCATAAACACTCTCAACAATCACCAAGGGAATAAATGTAAATAGTCATTATATGGAAAGTAATGCAAAAATCTATACTCCTAATTAATATTTCCCAGAGAGCTACCAAATTAACCATACATAAAGTTGTATGGATTTTCGTCAAATAATAAAGCAAGGATTATATAAATGGAAATAATCCAATTATCAGACTGTACGTTTGAGATCATGATTTTATCTTATTGTATTACATAATGTTCAATGGTTAGGACTTTAGGAGCTTGTATTTCAATTATAATTATAGAATCAGGTATTATTCAGATTGAATTTTGAGGATTTTATTATTTCATTTGAGCTATATACTGCTTTAAGTAAGATAGAAATGTGTTTTCATTTTGCTATTTGTGATTCATCACAATTTTGAATATTTTATTTGAAAGGCTGTTAAGAAAAATCGTGATATTTAGCAGTAATTATAAAGTAACTATTGTCAATTCTATTGAATCAATTTTTTTTTTAAATTAAAATTTCAAGTTTTGTTGAATAAAGTTATTAGAACGCTCGTAACTGGGGTTGTGCTTCAGAATTTTTATTAGTATTTTTCACTTCAAAATTTTCAATGTTTATGCTCAGTTTTATTCGGTAGTTTGCTTCAAGCTTCAATTGTTGGCATGGCTTACTGAACTAATCATGATTTGATGTTCTCCTTTCCTCTTTGTATAGAATTCAGTGATAATATGTAATAGATGTTCCATATGGAATGCTAAATAAAATAGTGATATAATGTATAAATAAAATGGCGACTTCTTTCAGAGAATTTTTGCGTCTCTGTGCTGACTGTGGTAAACCTAAAACAGGTAAATCATCCATCTAAATTGATTAGCAGGAAATAATTAATCAACAAGATGATACATACATGTATTACTCTCCTAGCCTTACTGATTTGTTTGGTATATTTTTATTTTTATCAGAGTCATATTCTCAAACTTTTTGGAATAAAGAGTCTAAATGAGGGTTTAATTCTGAATTCTCTGGATTTGGAATTTTAGGCCATGGTGATAATTAAAGTCAAAATTTAAACAGAAACAAAAAGCATCTAAGTTTACTAAGACTTGCATATGGCAATATCGAATTTAGGTTTCCGTTCGGAGTTGGACTCTGTGGAGTCGAGTCAAAGATTTTGTCAAACCAGAATCGGAGCTGGTGTCATTTTAAAATGTTTCAGGGTTTGGAATTTTCTTTGAAATTCTGATTCTGATTCTGAAACATTCCTGATTTCTAGATAAAGTCTGGAAGAGAGATTTTTTTCTATTTTTGATTACCCGATTTGTACTCATTTGTACTCACTACGAAAATCAAAATTTGCTATATTTTTTTGTTTGTTTTTAAGTGATATCGCAATTTCCGCCATAAAATTTGTCATAAATCATGTTTTTACTGCTCAATGAAAAAATGGGATATCCAAAATTGATTATATAGAAAAATTTTAGGAAAATAAATATTGAGATAATGAACATTCCTACCTGTTTGTTTCATTTGTGTAGTGTAGGTTTTGTTCCTTTGTGCATTGCTACACAGTATGTAGCTGATTCATATAGAAAACAAATAAATATATATGGAAAGCGAAACAGTTTTATTCAAATGCCACCTACACAAAAATTCACCTGCGCAGTAAATCAATAAGAATCATACTTTTATCATTTACGGAATATTACATAGAAACACTCTCTGGAAGTGGGTGACGTATTGTATCTAAAATTCTGTATTATGTTTTTAAAATTCAATAAATAAAAAATGAAAAAAAATATCGAAATGCGTAGTATATGTATCACTTATTAAAACAAGACGATATTTGTCTTCATTATGTATGCAAATTATTCAAATCAAGATATACATTATTGCATAATATGTTGAATGAAAAAAAGTGAACTATTACAAATAATAACAAATTTTAATAATAACAAATTTAAAGTTCAATGGAAGTACAATTGTACAAAACATTTGCATTATTTCCGCTGCTACATAACCATAAACCATTTTACTAGTTAAAATTTGAGTCTAATTGTCATTCTATGCTATATAAATAAGCATTAAATTTAACTCGTTTTTTCCTGTTACAGATCCAGATGTGTCTTCTTCCACATCTTCGTTACCAGCATTATCAGGCAGATATGCAAAGAACAACAACACATCACAGGCTGGATCAACAGCAACTCTACCTCCCGAGAAAAAACAAGGTAATGGGATGAATACTTAGAACAGGGTTTCTCAAACTGGGCCCTTTGGGCCATGGAGTGATTTTTAGGGCCACAAACAAATGTCTTCATATTTATTGTGAAACCGAAGTACAATATTACGTGTTGGCCAATTAAAAAAATTTTATGCTGTAGTCACATTTCATGGAACGTTCTTTAATTATCCGGTACATTGTAGCAGGGGTCACAAATGTTGAGAATCTTTGGTCGTATCGAATCTTTGATTGTATATATAGTAAATCTACTGATTCATTGCGTTGAATGTGATATTCGTTTCGAACTTTGTTTTGCCCTCACATAGCAATGCACTTCTCTAAACTGTATGTTATGATTCAATGAGTTCGTCTAATTTTAGCATTGACACCATGGTGTTGATTGCGTGCGTCTTTCTGACCGTGGTTATATCATCATTTGACATTACCAAGCAAGGAAATTATATAGCAAAAATATGACCTTGCTAAATAAAAATTTATCATTTCTGCTTATTTAGTTCGCAAAAAAAATTTAGTTCATACTTTTCATAAATATTGTCTTTTTTGTTCTGATATTAGTATAATTTTCTGATTTATAATCGTAACTCCAAATGCATTTATGCTTTGTAATGGAGTCAGCAGTTCGAATATATGATCCATTATGATTATATCTGAGGGAGAGAGAATTTATTGCTTTTGCCAAACCTCGAAAAAAAAAGTACCTGAATAAAAAAAAAAGGTTCAAAGGTTTGATTCCTTTAATGATACGGCTGTTTAATTTTATCGGGGTCTGTTGCTGATTTTTCCTACAACTTTTAAAATATTCATGAATAAGTAAATATTTTCGTATTGAGACTACGAAATCAAAAACCACACTTTTTGAGTTTTCCCTTTTTCAAATTACATTTAACGTTTCCCTTCACCACAAGCAATATGAATCACCGAAACTGTGACCTAATCTTAACGAAACTAATTTAATTTTTCTTATTCGCAGGGTTTTTAAAATGGTTGTCAACAGGGAAGAGGAAAGGTGCTGGCACTAATGCATCAATGGGTACATTGCCTCCTAAGTCACCCAAAGCAAGAAAGGTATTCCCTCAACTATTTCCTAGACATAATATATTTATTGCTAGACCATGACTATTTGGTTTTGATTTATGATAGTGCAAGGCTAACACTTATGCAGCTGTCATTGGTAATCTTGCTGGCTTCATATTCAGTCGACTGTGAGTTAACATTGATTTACGGTCATCTTAACCTTCCAGATAAAAAATTGTATGTTAAAATTTTTTTTTCTATAAACTTCAGTTATGTAGAATATACTACCTCATTGATTGACATGATCTGCTCCAAGTGTTACATTAATCGTTATTTACAAATGCATATCTCAGTATCTTTTGACTTCTCAGTTGTCGCCCATAACGTAAGTCGGAGATCAATCTCCCTTACTTTTGAGTGACTATTTGGTTTCAATATATGATAGTGCCTCCATCGCTTCTGATGGCACACGCAGATATAACCTCGATTTGGCATATTTTTATATAAAACAAATCAAATTTTTATGTGATCATATTGTTATATTTTTTATGAAAATTGAAAATGTTTCATATGACTGATTAAGGGAAGTGAACCTACTTTCTAAATTTAGAATTGTACCGGTGACTCCTATTCATTATAGTTTCGCTGTTTTCAAATAAAAATTCGTTTAGTGTTAGTTATGGGATAGGGAACATTATAAGCTAGTTCCTGGTTTAAAAATGCATAATAATTCAAAAAATGACGAAACTAAAAAAACTGTCAAATTTGGTTGCTTAAATTTAACTAATTCACCTAGCATTCATTGGATCTCTTTCAAAATCTATGCACATTGTTTTACCTTCAAAACATTCTGTGTATGAATTTTTAATATATTCTCCGGGCCTATTTTCACTTTTCATTACCTTTGCAATGAAAATATTTCATGTTTTGTTCTTTGCGTAACCATTTATTTTTTGAGATAAAAGAAACTAGTGAAAGATTTTTCTCTCCTACTCAGAAATTGACAAAAAATAACTTTATGACCATATTTTTCAAACGAATTTGTTTTGAAAAAAATAAAGTGAATAGGCTACTAAATTTCAGTGTTGTAGGAAAAAAATGAATGGTCAACTTGTTGTTGGAGAGTTCGCTTCATTGACTTGAGTTGTACTCGAGTCACCTTTTATCAAGCCAGTGAAACTAACTAAGTGAGGCTTGATTGACCTTTGACTCGACTCGAATAAATTATCAAAATTTGTATAAAAATTTCCAGGACAAAGTAAAAGGAGATGAAACTGGCCCAGTGGTCAAAGCTTCGTCAGTGCAACACCTTGTTGCCGACGTCTCGGAAAGTGATGACATTGAACCTGCCCCAGCTCTTCCTCCCGCGATGCCAATCGTGGAAAATAAATTTTCAGAAAATGGAGTGAAGGTAGATACAATTTTGCATGTTTATTCGGTTGCTTTTCGGTGTTAATTACGCTAGTTGAATTACTTTGAAATTTGGGTGGAATTTGCATTTATTGATTAATTTATTAGAGAGTGGAGTAATTTATGAAACATTTAGGTGTTTAAATCCAAATTTGAGTATATTTTAAGAAATTTGACAACTTTTACCTGGTGTAAATAACATATTCTGATGTGTTTTGAGATAATGATCTTTCTTAAAAAAATTTAAAAACCTTATAAGCTAAGGTTTTTTTATCACAATTATGAAAATTGAAAAAAAAAAAAAATACATTATTTTTAAACATATTATTGACGCAGCATATACCCATACAAATACTGCATAAATTAAGAATAATAAATAATAACAAATCTAAATTTTGAGACTCTAAATGTATTAGTTATTTATCTTTTTGGCTTAAAAACTGCATTTTAGGTGTAAATTAGCATGCATTTATTACAGCATATTTTTCTTTTGCTTGTTCTATTGTTTTGTCCTGCATGTCCCTATCTTCTGCCTCTAAACAAAAACCTTCTTTGCCATATTGGTTAAACGTCTTATGCACTATTATTTGCCTGGCTTGCCCACTTTTATTTATTTTATTTTCCGTTAATTTTTAATGTCTGTGATGTCCTCATACCCCATTTATTTTGTGGATAAATATTTCATCCTGTATTATGTTGATTCATATAATATTCAATATTTTGATATAAAAATCAATGATAAAAAAAAATTGTTCAAAAATATTCGGCCTTTTTGAAATTTTACAAAATTTGCATAAAATCTTCAAATTGCGCCATGCGCAAATTTATCGTTATTCCTATACATTCATTACCTTGGATTCTTTTTAAAAATAAAAAACACCCCCCCCCCACATACTCTAAATAAAAACCTATCCGCCACCCTAAAACCCTGCAATCTTTTCCCTGGCGTACATTACCCCCCTCAAAGATTGTGGGACAGGCAGGGCCAGGTGGATCATCATCCGAGCAAGATCTAACCGACCCGAATCTTAATCGTTCACAAGCTAAAGATTTTAGTCGAGAAATGGAAGATCTTCTATGCGAGAAATTTCCGGTATAAATTGATTTGAGTGTGATTTTTCATATTAGAGTGATTTGGGTGAATTTAAACTGCACGGGGTGTCTTTTTCATCTTATTGGGGCTATTTTGAAGGGTGATACTCTAATGATTGGTCTTGATTAAAATCACTGATGAGGAGGCTTGAGTTATTGTATGAACTTTAGTTGGAATTGAGTTACCATTTATTAAAGCCTCCGAAAGTACTCCGAGTCATTTAAATGAAATTACTTCGACTCGTACTCAACTAACCACCAGCAAGGGTTAACTCGGTTTCTACTCGAGATTCTGGTGGCCTCTGACTTGAGAATTGACGTTTAGCGGTTCCTACCGTACACTGACTAAAAGTGATAAATGAAGTAATACTCAACAATAGATAATGATAATAAGGGCTAAATCGAGTATCATCTACATCTCGGTTATTCTCGGATATATAACTCGATTGTGCGAATTTGTTAGATTTTTGATCTATTTGGTTCGGGTTTAACTGTTAACTTGCTGACTCTCCCAAACTATTTTGTTGCTACAGCCCTTTTGTGAAGTCTACCATATTATTTTTCTTTTGGTGTGCTTATTGCATTGGTGTTTTGCACAGTTTGGTGATATCATAATTTGCAAATGCACTTTCATTTTATTTGAATCATCATTGTCTCGCAGTTTTGTCATTTTACAGTGCTTGTGTAGTGTATCATCTCTACATTTATCATTGTTTACATTATATTTCACCAAGTTCATTGTATGTTTCGGATTATTTAATCAGATATTATTTTTTATGACGTTAAGATTCATTTATTCCAAACTGTGTAATATAAAAAGAGCACGGAATATCATACCACCTTCTCACTCAATTATCTCAACAAGAGTGAGAGAACTCATTCAAACAAGCACTCGCTCAAACACAGTTTCTTTGCACATATAACCTCACAAAATATTTCACACTGAATTTGCACACTTTGCGTCCTTCTTTAAATGGGTATTTAAGACTCCAAATTTGCAATTAATTTTAATTCCAAATATTCTAAATGGAACTATCTAGCAAAAAAGGCACACAATATGCTAAATTTTCAATAATAAGATCACGTATTGTATGGTTTCATCATAAAAATGGCGAGTTTTCTTAGAAAAGGTTAACTTGAATACCTGGGTTTAAATATATATCTTCATATTCCAATTTCTTCTAAATTGAATTTTTTAGACATCTCAAGCACACAGTAAATATATTTAATTCACATTCTGCATGTCCGTGTATTTTTATTCCTTACAATTTATCGATGTTTAATTATGTAATTAATTCAGACGTCGACTTCTATAAAATCATTTCAACGTCTCAGCATTTCCGGAGTTTTAGACAAATCTGAACAAAATCCTGAAGTTTGGCAAAAAAGGGTAGGTTCACTGGTTTTATAGATGTTATGAAGATTTGATAGATATTTTTTATCTTATTGGTTTTCTCTTAAAAAAATGAAATTCTTTCTTGATTAATAGACATTTTAAAGTAAGATATTCAATCAGTTTCAGAATTCATAAGATTTTTTCTATAAATATCAAAAAATGTAAGGAATATTTGAAAAGCATTCTAAACTATTCGGAGATATAATTATAGTTTTAAGTCCTGTTATTCTTCCAAATTTTAGTATTTTGAAGGTAAAAAATTATGATATATAAGACTTTAATTCCAAACCTATCTTCAGGTAAGATTCTGTCAAAAAAAAACTAATTTGCATGTTGGCATCTCAGTCTGTGTTTATATATTTAATTGGGTCAATGCCCAACTTCGGGTACTCTCATAGTATGTGTACCAGGTTAGGGTTAGGCCTTAATTATTTTCCGATTTTCTTTATTTTAGTTCTATTTCGAGTTCGGGGACTGCCTGTGTTAGCCAAGTGAATATACCCCCTATCTATAGGTTACAGTCTCTTTACACAACTTGATGTAGGCGAACAAAATTAGTTACCTTCAAGCGCCCAACATTGTTCGCTTGTTATCATATCCCATGCATATTGAAAGTTCAAACCACTGGAGACTTGCATAATATAGATTTACTAGATGAGTAAATTCATTTACGTCTTCTGTTTTTTAATTCCATCAGGACGCTGATAAAATCAAAGCTAATGAACCAGAAGAACCACTAATTAAAGAAATATCTCAAGAGGAAAGAGATGCAATCTTACAGAAAAGAAAATATGTCCTAATGGTGAGTACTTTTTTTACATATTTTTTATTACATGTTATTTATGCTAGGAAAATGAAAGTGAATTCAAATGTTGTATGAAAGTTTTTCATGTCCTGTCAATTTACAAAATACATCGCTATTTTGTTATTACCGTACATCTGGTCTTTTAAAGTATTCTCATCGGGAATGTCCAAAACGAATCAAGTATTTAAGTACAATCGAAATTTAATATACCGGTATTTATTTTTCATATGACATATTTATACACCTTCCGCTTCAAACAAGTTTCTCCACTTGCCACTTCTAGATAAGTAGTTGTCATGGTTTAATATGACCATAATCTTTCTGTTTCGGCAACCAATAGGCCATTGTACTCAGCCTTCCTCTTCATGCCAAACCAAATTTTTTAAATTTTGATTTGCGTATTTTTAATCTTTAAATTTTCCAATTTCAGGAACTTGTCGACACCGAAAAAGATTATGTTACTGATCTTGGTATTGTGGTCAATGAATTTATGGCTGATACATTAGATCAAGGATTACCCGAACCTGATAATGGAAAAGAAAGAGTTGTGTTTGGAAATACCAAACAAATATATGAGTGGCATAGAGAGTGAGTACCATGAGGAAGTAGTGGGAATTTACTCCTTGTGAGGAGTTTAAATTCATAATTGTAGAATTAATGGCTGCACATGAAGTGGACTAATGGATCATTTTGCTTACTTGCTGTTGTTGAAGCGACGTTAAAAATCGCTTTTCTCTGCAACTTATGTCAAATTCAATTTTAAATGTTCAGCACTTAAAGATGGATAAGGTTACTAAAACGCTATTACTTTTTTTTTTCAATTTTTCCTGTTTCCTATTCCCTGATTGTTTGAATTACCAGAACTTGAATCTAAAACATCTATTCTGGTCCAAAGATATCTGCTGGAATCTCCAAAAAATCATTCACTAATTGGTAATTTATATTAATGTTTGTTTCATTTCAGTGTATTTTCAAAAGAACTTCAGAAGTGTCTCGACAATCCAGAATATATTGGAAGATTATTCAAACGATATGTAAGTAAAAATTTTTTGAATAATAATAGTGTCATAAGCAAGGCTGGCTAGTTGATTCAAAGTTACAATTGTTCTGACTCAGGCTCAGGACCAACATGCACAAAATGTACAAAAATAATTAGATGACTAGGAGCTTGGGCAACTAAAATTTCTTGTTACAAAATTATTTACTTTTTGACTGTTTTCATATGACGCTTGTTGCTTACTCATTCGTGCCTTCCCATCCAAACAAGGCAGCATCTACTAATATTTAATTATATGCTCTTATTGGACACGTTTAGTGGCCATAACGATCGTTTCAATGTTTTGTTGTTATTGTTATTTGTCTCTGTCTCCATTTTTAAAAAATCGCTTTTCTCTTCGAATACTGGACCAATTGCTTTGATATTTTCAGTGGTTAAAAATAAAATTTTTCTCCAGAAGGCTATTACTTTTTTTTTCTCGCTATGACGTCATCAAAATTATTGCCACTGGGTGACGCTACGTGTCCATATATTTTTTAGCAGAGATGGAATCCGTGGGGTTCAGCATTGCCTACTCAATTTTTGGTACTCCTGAAGTATGCGCACCAAGATGTCGCATAACCTGAACCCTAACCTGGTACACAATCTTGGTGCGCACACTTCAGGAGATCCCAATTCTTACCCTGGGTGGTGGGCTCACTTTATATATTAATAACCTTTTCGCTTTATATTGTCATTCTTTTTACAGGAAAGACGATTGCAGATGTACGTGACATACTGCAGTAATAAACCTTTATCAGAATTTCTTGTCATGAAACACAAAGCGTACTTCACTGAAATTCAAGAAAAATACGGAAGAAAATTAGATATTGCGGGATATCTCATCAAACCTGTGCAAAGAATTATGAAATATCAATTACTCTTGAAGGTAAATAGTAGGAAAAGTTCAGTGGTTAACCGATAATACTTGGTCGGCAATGAAAATAAATTTTGACCGTTACTTGTCATCCCAGGTAATACTCCCTTTTACTGATATTTAAAATTATTCTAAAATTATTTTGCGCATATTTTTTTCGTGGCCATCAATTCAACATAATATTACTATTTGCATCTTTTGTAAATAGTCACCTAGCAGAGAGACTTTATATTATTAGCCTTTTTTGATCTGTGGACAAAAATCGAGCAACATCAGGGCAGGATTATGTGAAAATGTTTTCGATCCAAAGCTGAGGCTTGTTTACTACTTTGTACTGCGAACTACGGCCTTTTGTGGTTACCAGTCTATGTCAGTATGGGAAGAATTAGCCAGCTATTTTATTTAAAAAGGATGGACTTGCTGTACATGTGTGTATTACCAACTCACATGTACAAGAACACACATATGTAGCACTGAATTTTCATATAATTCTTTAAAAATTATTATACTTTTATTTCTTTTTTCAGGATATTCTTAAATATACTGACAGAGCGAAGCTGGATTGTCAGTTGTTACGAGACGCGGTAGAAGTTATGCATGTTGTTCCTAAGCATGCTAATGATATGATGATGGTTGGGAGAATGAAGGGTTATGAGGTAAGTAGGGTTTCCGAAGTCACTAGAAATCTATTACTTTTATCTCGCTTGTACACCAACCTTTCAGCGAACTCGGCGCTCTATAAAAGGTTTTGCAACCTTCGTGTTTGTATGTCTGAGCATTGCTGGAGCCATGGATTCAACTTAAGTAACCATAGAAACTTGAGTCATCTAAATCCGTGGTTCTCAAACGGTGGGGCGTAGACAAGATTTGATCTTGCCTGCCTTATTTTGGATATTTACATTTTTTTATTTAACGTGTTTATTGAATAAAACATACTTTCGTCTTACTATCGGTTAATTTGTAGACTATTGTTAGCTAGGTATTTTTGAGGTGGGGCGTGAGACAGTTTCTAAAAGGGGTCGTGGCTTAAAAGTTTGAGAACCACTGACCCCAATGGAAGGACTCTTTGTGGACTTGAAGGATTTGTCATATATCTCTAAAATAATTCAATCCAATCTTCTGCTAACTGTTATATTTTTTATTTTTCCATGTTCAGAATTTTTCATTATATAATTTTACTAGATAGGAAAAGTTTCATAATTTTTTTATTTTTATACAGGGTCGTCTAACAGCTCAAGGCAAGTTACTTCTCCAAGAAACGTTCTTGGTTCGAGTCGAGGAACCTGGAGGAGGTTTCAGTGGTCTGGGTAAAGAACGGAAGGTTTTTCTATTTGAGCAAATTATCATATTCAGTGAACTTGTGGATAAAAAATCTGAAGAAAGGGGATTTACATACAAATCAGGGTAAATTTACCATAATTTTTATCAGCGAGTCTTAGAATACATTGTCTCGTGAATTGTCACTTTCAATTATCTTGAAATAAGATAAAATTGTCCCATTCCGTTGGGTAATCGATTTTCAGGCATTAAGAATGAATAAAACTGTGTTTATCTCTGATTATCCTTGATTTTCTGATTGTCAAATCCCACAATTGAACTGTTACTTCTGTTCTAATGGAATTAAACAGATAAAGGTTCTATTATTTGTATTTGTGGTGTTATTAAATGCACCTAGTAGCGGAAATAAGATTGATTGCTGTTAAGGATGCTGATTAATTATTCCATTAGACAGTGTCTGGTGACGCTCGTCTGATATGAAATCTCATTTACTGCAAGAATCGGGTAACCATGTAAAGATATCTGTCCACTGGCTACATACAGCTCCGTAAATAGTGTCCAAAATAGGATTTTGATGTTATTGCCTCAGCACAACTCTCTCAAACGGGGCACCAGGTTGTCCTGGAGGGCCACATAAATCATTTCTGGGGCCACAAGCAATAATCTTCAATAGCTTCCATTCATCACACTAAATTAATTTAGAGCAAATTAATTGAAATTTTTTTAATTCTTTTACTATAATATATTTGTTCCTATGCTTCTCGTTTTTGACGTTTTTATCATAAAAAAGCCATTAAAATTTGTATTATGGTATATAAAGTTTTTCTGGGTAAGGCATTTCTAATTTTGAAAGTAGTAGTAAAAGTAAATATGTGACTTACATTATCAAACTGCATTATCATGAAATGTGAACTTTTCAAATATTTGTCATTGATGCTAAATATTATCATCATTATTTTCAATCCACAGTATCAAATGCATTAACCTTGTACTGAGTGAAGTCCATCACGATCCCACCAAATTTAAACTTATGGAAAGCAGAAGAGTTCCTGGAAGTGAAGGACCAGAAACTTACGAACTTTCTTGCGATAATTCAGAAATTGTTTCATCATGGGTTACGCGAATCAGAAATTTGCTGGAAAATCAGTTGGATTTTGTGAAAGGTGATTGATTATTTATCGTTTTACCATGTTTTAGAAAAAATTAAACAAATTTATATCTTTATATGGAATTTTGCCTTTTAACTCCAATCGAGGCTCCAGACAAGTATTTAATGATATGAGAAAAGCTGATTTTTTTTTTTGAATAATCGTAACGTTTTCTGTTTGACATTGCCTGGCTAATTTTATCTCGCCCTACATGGAGTGCATCTGGGATCTTGACTGAAAGAATTTGAAATAGTTAGTGGAGTTTTTTTATTTTGAAACCCCATACCCACCACCTCATCGGAAGTGTAATAAATTGGGTGGACAGTGCTGAACTGCGCTCTTTATGGCTGCTTGTACGGAGTCATGTTCGAAAGAGTGGATACAACTTTCACATTATATTGTTCGGAAAGCAACAAGTCAATCTCTCATATACTACCTTATATTGTTTTCAGCTTTGCAAGCTCCGATAATGTACCAACAAAATCTTAATACGTCACCTGCACATTCAGCAAACAGTAATGGTAATAATAACAATAATAATGGAATGCTTTCACCAAGTAAGTTTAATGCATTTACCTATGTTCAAGGTTATTTTTTATGATTATAAATTTTAAACCACCTGCAATTTTCTCCTAATTTTTGGTTTGATTTTTTATTTCAGGCACCAAAAACTCAAACAACAACAAATCTGACGGTAATTTAAACTGCCACACGGGTGGTGAGGAGTCTGACGTACTACCATCAGCGTCAAGAAGTGTCGTATCGTCATTAAGCGACGAAATAACGAACGCTCTCGCTTCTAAAAATTTATCTATTACAGAAGCGCCCTCACCACCGCGGTCAAAAAATCAACAAAACCAAGAAACTACTCAAACTAATTTGAGACCAAAAACGTCTTTATCACTCGACCTAACCACTCAAACTCACTGTGAACGAGTGTCATTTTCATCCTCCCCGGTAATGACCCCAGACGGGGTTTTAAAACTTCCACCCCTCACAATTCCAACTGCGACTATTTCTGGGGCAGCAGGTACATGGAATTTACATAACAACAACAGTAATAATAACAACAACGGAATACAACCCCCATCCGCTATTGTTACTAGACAACGTCTTCCAACTGAAAATGGAGATTTAAACCATAATCCAGGGTACAGATCTCCGTTAGTTAAAAAGCCATCACAAGAAAGCTTAAAAGCATCGTTAAACAGCAAACTCTCTCATCAATATTCTTCAAATGACGCAATCTCTTATGCACCGTCGTCAGATATTTCTGTTAAGCGGACAATAAATAGTCTGCCAGATACAAGACCCCGGACTCGAACTACTGGTTCTATAACTTCATCTCCAAAATCTATGAAAGACTCAAGTGAAATGAGAGCAACTAATGGAGGTGAGAAATGTCAGCAATGATTTTTTATGTGAAATTAAGGTAAATTTGTCGAGCTCAAGAGCTGGGCAAAAATTTAGAATTTTATAAATTATTAAATGAATTTATTTTATTAAAATATATAATGGACAGTGATTTTTCGAAATTTTGACTCCAGTTCCAAACTCCGAGGAAATCTAATTTTGTTACCAAACTTCAGGATGCCTTCTTTAATATATGTTTTAAATTGCTCAGTAAACCTGTTGCCTTTTGAGTTTCATTAGAAAAACTTAGCTCCCATAATAACATTGAAATTCCGACTTCGCGAACTTCAAATTCCGACTCCAGCTCCAATGAGTCATGCCAAACTCTGACTCAGAGATTTCACGGAATTTATCTATTTTATTTTCCAAATAATATCTTCAGCTATCAAGTCTTCTTCACCTATGACATCATCAACGAAAAAACCTCCATCAGGCAAGGAATTGAAAAAAATGGCAAAAGAAGCGAAAAAGAAAGCAAGTAGAAGTTTGTCTGTTGTTGACGATCAGGAATTGGAGAAACGGAGAGGAAGAGCAAAACATAGAAGGTATGAGTTTAAAATACGAGGAATTTTTTTGTTGGAGCATTTTTTTAAATTCATTTGATATGAAAGTTTGTAGTAATGCATGGACAACTTGTGGGAAGCAAAAGATATAATTTAGCCTGCGCTGCATGTATTACTATGAAAAAGCTTGCAGCAAACCACCTGCTATGTGAAATGTTTGGTTAAATAATGTCACTTCGAAATTTTGCAAAATTTAATTTGACCTAAATTTTTCTATTTGACTTTCATTCAGAATGTTTTACTTTTATTTTTTACATATGATTTTGTTTGTGGGAAAAATTTTTTATGCAAATTTTCTACGAACTTCTTCAGGTTACCAGGATTCTTCACAAAACGTAGTAAAACTGCAGACGCTCGACCAGATCCAAACCAGGATGAAACAAAAGACGACCAAATAATGAATAGAAGAGGAAGAAGGTCATCCTCACCAGATATTACATCTTCATCTAGAAAAATAGGAGGCTCTCAAGATGATATCAGGGATTCTCAAACAAATCCAGTACCAAAAATTGAAGCTATAAGGTAGACACAAACAATTTTACTAATTTTTGTTGGAAATTGGTCATTGCGGAATTGGAAAAATATCAGCCTATCCAAAAACAGTAGTTGTTACATATCGTTAGATATTAGTTACTTATTCAGAATTACATGTCCCACACTTGTCGCAGTTGTATGATTTTCAATTCATATGAATACACTATCTTAGAACATTGGGGACAAGTGTGGCAAACTTGTACAAATGTGATAAAATGGAGACGAGTGGGACACTAAATTTCGATATGTCATGTTTTTCTACATCTTGCTTGTGATTTGTGAACTAATTTGAGTTGAAAAATTTTGTCAACCTTTTATTCATTTATTGATTATACATATTTAGGACCATACATTCACCAGTACCATTACGAGAAGCACCATCGAGAACATCGTTAGAAAGTAGATTGTCAGCACGGTCTACGCCAGCATTTGGGCTTCATCATGCCAGCAGTACAAGTAGCGGAATTTTGTCTCCGTTACCGAAAGAATCATTCTGGTTGTCACCTATGTCTCCTGCTACAAAACCAAGCGCTTTGGAAGTTTTTTCTTATCCAGCATCAGGCTCCATGTCTAATGTATCAAGGTGATATGATAAGATAATTTTATAAATCCGCAATGACACAAAAAATGGCATTATGACAATAGTCCTGACAGCATTAAATAATGGCGATATCTGATTTATACTTGAATTTTGTATGAAGAACTTATATCACTCAAAGCTGAAAAAAACATTCAGAATCACACTCGAAGATATGTCCAAGCGACTGTTGAAATTTCAATTGTTTCGTCAATGTTGACTTTTCTGATTCAGTATTGTTGTGGAAATAAACAAGGAAGTGGATGGTTGTGAAACATCCATGTCTCAGGTCACTTATATTTTATAAAAAAAATTTCCATTGCATTGAACTTGAGTTCATTTTTCAGACAATTCAGTGTTGATAATATTTCTGGAAAGAAAGAAAACCCGGAAACTAATGACGGAGAAGAAAAGGTATTCATATATATTTTCCATTTTTTTCCGAAGCATGGTTTATATATATATTCATACGATTGTTTTAGTTTTAGCAGTAAGTATCTTTCACAAGGATTCGCCACAAACGTATCAGTCAAATGACGTATTAACTTTTCATTACAGGAAAATAAGAATGTATCCATGTTAGCTGCATGTGATTATGTTGCACAAAAAGAAGATGAAATATCCGTGAATAAAGGAGATGTCGTACAGATTCTTGCAACTAACAGTGAAGGTATTGATTCTGGTTTTTGTTGATTTATCTCTCTTCTGAAATAAATAAAACATACAAAATTCGAAATTGTATTTTAATTCAAAAACTTCTTTGTCACTGTCTTATGCCATTTTTGTTAAATTCAATGAATAATTAAAGCATTGTGAAATTACTGAAAAAATGTCTTAGGCATTCATTTCATCTTCATTGGATACCTCTAAAACGAACAATTCTATGTTCAGGAAAATGTCTCGTTCACCGACCTGTGACAGAGAAGAGTCCAGCTGCCGAAGGGTGGATACCAGGTCACGTTTTAGGTCACACCAGTAATACTTTGAAACGACCATCGAAAAAGAAGTCTACCTCGTCAGTCGAAAGTCCCCGAGATGTAAAAGAGGTTTCAAGGTCAAAAGGTCGAAGAAGATTACGCAAGTTATCAAGCAAAACTCTCTCTGCCGCACAGTCATTACCAAGTTTGAATAATACATCAGAGACTACTGGTAACCATAACAACGAGGATGAAGATAACGCTTCCGTTATTTCAACTCCAGTTCAAAAGTTGTCTTCAGAAAAGTAAGATTGGATAATCTGTTTCATGATCGTTTCTATTTATTTACATAAAAAACTATTTGAAACCTGGGAATATACCTAATAGTTTTACTAATGAAGTTAATAATAAGGAAAATAATATGTAGAAAAACGTGCTTCCAGATTTTAGATAATTTACATGATTTTTTGTTTGTAGAGCTTCGCCATGGGCTTCCTTACGTCATAGAAAATCCTCAAATTCTTCAAGAAAAATGTCAACGACGAGTAGGCACTCAGATTCTTCTACTCAGGTGAGGGAAATCTTCACATTAGGTTTGAGCCTTTGGTACAAAAACCATACCATATATCAAGCAGTGTTGAGTAGGAATCCCCAAATCGCAAGTCAACTCAATCTCTCAGTTAAGTTACTCCAACTTGAGTCGCATCAACGACCCGCGCCTCTTCAACACTGCTTATGAGTGGTTTGTTTTCATATACCATAACTCTGGTGTTTTAGAATTAGACTTTGCAATAAATATTTTACCCATTATGTTTTTTTTAATTTTTACTTCAAAATCGTGGTCAGTATGATATACAATCATTTAATTTTGTAAACACTTATTCAAATTCATAGAATACTCCCATTTTGGATATATTGTCATAATTTCTGTCATATTCATTATTGTATTCAGATTAAATTCTTAATCAATTTGAGTCAAGGTATCATAAGTAATATTCATATAATAATGAAAACTTGAATAAACATTATGATCAACTTTTGCATAATTTTAGCAGGAACTATCTGCTGCAGTTGACATCCCTGTCTTCCAAACCCAGTTAATCGATATCACAGTCCGTGAAGGTGATCCAGTCGAATTTAAATGTTCTGTTTGTGGACGTCCAAGACCGGACGTAGCATGGCAGACTCCCAATAGCAATATGTTACATGGAACCAGGTTGGTAAATAATATTCTTGACTTTCAATTTAGTAAAACATAGTGTTAGCCTTTGCCCGCTCTGCATATTTGATCCAAACAAGGTTTTGGACAAGCAGTTGTTACTGCTTTGTTTTTGTGAAGATTGGCATAGCCTACTAAAATCATCACGTTTATGAGGATGCATTTGGTGTGTTCAGGATTGAAATGGACATCTCGACCATTTACCAGTCCATATTGGGCATGGGAATACTTAACCAGTTACTTGTTTCAAATGCATGGACTTGGTGGTCGAGAAAGCCGTAACTGTCCAACAAATACGTGAACTTCCCTGTGGTGGCAATAAGTCCAGCAATCTTCTGGAACATAATTATCCAATTGAGTTTCCACTGTAACTCTTTTGAAAAGTATGAATGTTAAATTCAGTCTATGAATGACATACAGTCTATGAACAAGTTTATGGAGTAGTGTATCAGCCTTTAAGACATTGTACTTGGTATGAATACTTAACACTTAACTCTTTTCCCCCAGGTTTGTGACATCATATTCTAAAAACAATGAAGCGATATTGAAAATAACAAAAGCACAGGCAAGGGATTCTGGACAATATTCATGTATTGCTGTCAATCAAAACGGTACATCCACCACATCAGCTGTCCTAACTGTACAAGGTAGGCTATTGAAATTTTATTCTTTCTGGGGAGCTCTTAAATAAGATTAGTAACTCAGGGGGGGTGCTTCAGAAAGTTAAAATTTGAGGGTATTAATATAATAACTCACTCATGTGAGTGCTTCAGAAATTCCAAATGTGGGAATAATAACTCAACTCAGCGGAAACTCAAGCAGAAAACTCGAGCAGAAAATTAAAAAGAGATTAACAACTTACCCGGGTGAGTGCCTCAGAAGGTTGAAAATCACTTGCTATAAATATATACTCATAAGTGTCAAAGTGAGCAAAATACTCAGAATTTATAGAAACGATCTCCATAATAGCAAAAATATCGGATAAAATCCTGAAAATATATCAAAGCCCTGTGGCAAGACACTTGAAACAATTGCGATTAAGAATCAAGTGAACATTTCAAATTTTTTCAGCTAAATTTAGAAACTTTGAAATCTTATTACTCTCTGGTTGGTTTGGAGCAGTACTGGGGCGGCTTGAGTTATTGACTCGACAATATAACAAAAACTCAATGTCGCTCGACACTCGAGTCATCTAGACTCATTTAGACTTTAATCGGTGATTGACTCCAGATTGGACTTGAGACTCGGATAGTCAATGACTTTTCTTAACTCGCAACTTGATATTTCTACTTGAACTTAGGTATGAAATATATGGGAAGACAATTGACTTGCCAAATCAGATCATACATCTCAAAACTCATGCCAACATAATTCCACCGTTTCTCCAGGCGCTCCAGAAGTGTGTGTACCAATATGGTGGTAACTAATTTTGTTCGCATATTTTATATTAAGTTGTGTAAAACGATTGAAACCTATGGACAGGGGGTATATTCACTTGGCTAATACAGACAGTCCTCGAATTCGTAATAGAACTAAAATAAGGAAAATCAGAATAAAATTATACCCTAACCTCGTACACACACTATGTAGTACCTATCCCCATGCTATTCTTCTCGTTTTATCCTATACATTTTTCCTTGTATTTCTTTCGCAGGTCCCCCAAGTGCAGTATTGAAGCCGAGTATAATCAAAACATCAAAAGCCAGCATCACAGTAACATGGGAACCGCCTGATTTAACAGGAAATTTACCAATAACTGGATATACATTGGAATTTGTACAAGCAGGTAATAAGAGTTATTTTGTTGTACTGTTTCGAGTATGGACCAATGATGGAATGTGCCTCATGTCACATTTCATCATTGGACCATACTCTGTCGAACATCACATATTGTTTCAAAGCATGGCGCTCCAGAAGTATGTGTACCAATATGGTGACTAGAATATCGGTTAGAAACCGAAGACTTATCGATCGAACGTTAGAGGATCCCCAAAACAGTGGTCTTACTCCATAGTGACACTGTGCGTCCCATCACTAATTGCAACATGCAAAATTTGGAGCAGATTCAACCTCGTTTCCGTGAGATATCGCGTGCATCTAACACACAGACATACATACAGACAGACAAATACCTATCAACATACTTACCGATCTTAAGATCGATGAGTAATAACTATTTTTGTTCGCCCACTTTACATCAAGTTGTGTCTATGGGCAAGGGGGTATATTGACTTGGGTAACACAGGCAGTCCCCAAACTCTTAATAGAACTAAAATAGGGAAAATTGAAATAAAATTATGGCTTAACCCTAACCTGGTACACACACTACGGGAGTACCCAAAGTTTTAATGTTTTATTTTAATATTGATCGATAGATACTCTGAACATGATAATTCAATGTGTTACAAAATTTTAGGAAACTCGTTTTTGATTATTATTCCATTTTCCCATTTATATACTGGTATACTGGTATTATATACTGGTATTTCAATAATTTCAAAGTGTTAATCCAAAATTGATGCTTTATTATAGAATAAACCTAGTGTAGTAATGCTGTGGACTTGAAAATTTTTTTAACCTTGTTTTACTACTGTATATCTTTCCAAGTTGTAAGTTTATTGTAGCAAACTATGTTGTCGCCTACACTTTGTTAAAAATGAGATATTTTTGAAAAATTTGTTTTTTTCAAATGTAATAACTCTGCTGCCTGTTAAGAGCCGTTTTCAAGGTTGAATCTCTGAGACTAGAATTTCAAATACTTTTTTATTCATTTAGGGAGCAAAAAGTGGCAAAAAATCGAGATTTCTGATCCAACCGCTACGTCGCAACTGATGGAGAATCTACCAGCTGGTGTGTTATACCAGTTTCGTATCATTGTTCATAATTCAGCAGGAGATAGTCGGCCTTCACAATTATCTCAGCCTGCTGTTGTTCAGCAAGACAAAGGTAACTGTGGCAGATTTAATAAAGGTTGGGTGACAATTTTCAATCTGTGGATTTTTTTCTAACAGAGCGATAAATAAGTTCGTAATAAGAAGGCGGTCGAGCAATGCGAAATAAAAAGTGTCCCTTTCAACTAGACATCAAAGTTTTTGCTGAATTTTAGCGGGTGCCATACAATTATGAGGAAATAGAAAAAAATGTGTTGAAGCCTTTTAGTTAGTGATTTTTTCCATCTTTGAGTGCAAAAATTTGAAGTAGATTGTGTCATTATACACTGAAAAAAGCGTTTTTTTTTTTCCAAAACCAACAAGAATTCAGCAAAACGGTTCATATGTACAGTTCGTATTCAACCATGCAATATCTGACTAATTTTTAATTTTCAGCTCATACTCAAAGTAAAGACGAAATAGTTTGGAAGAAAGATATTGATGTACATTATTCGTGCACACAACTCCTAGCTCGTGGAAGATTTGCCGTCGTACAAGAATTGGTTTCTATATCATCTGGCAACACATTTGCAGGTAAGATGGTAATTTTATAGCGATGTTATAGAAATTTGGAAATTTAATGTATGGGGAATTTAAAGAATTGGTGTAAGTGGGTTGCAAACTCTTGTTATTTTGAAGTAATTTTTAAAGCTAGATTCCAAAAAAAATGTCAGGAAGACGTTCAGTTTGGCACGTGAGACCTCACATAACTATCATTCAAATCTGAGTTGAGTTAGCGATAACTATACTGGAAAAACGTTTATATAATGCATTGAGCGTTAGGGACATGGTTTCCATCAAACCCCTGTTTACCCTTTATCGGGTTTATGCCTGTCGTGCGAGATAATTATTGAAGTTGCGAAGAGAGATGTATGTGACTACTGGTGGGTTACAGGTTCTTTCACCGTTCCATGTAAAATTTGCAGTTCTTCTTTTGAAATTCTTTTTGTATTTCAGGTAAATTTCTAAGCAAAAAGACGACGACAAAAGAAAATGCGGAAAGAGAAATCAAGATGATGCAAATGATAAAAGATACAACTTATTTTGTTCCTGTTAAAGATATCTACGTCACACCTCTAGCATACGTTATTATTATGCCTATGTAAGTTTGATATTGTAATTTAGAGAACGAAACGGTTGTTCGACGCGAGTGCAGTACCTTACATCAGTGACTCATGTCATCTAAGTGGGATTACTCTAAATTACTCATCAGCTAGCCACCTGTGAGACTGATTTTTGTGGTCCACTCGACTTGAGACTTGGAGGATGTGCGACTCGACGCTATCTCACAATAGGTGTTAGAATATCAAAAGGCCATGTTTTAGCGTGCCAAAACTAAATTTAATCACAATATCAACAAATTCCTTGAGCTATTTTTATCTGAGTCATCAAAATTTGGTTTTAGTTTGGTTGTGGCATAATCAGGCGGGCCAGATTGAATTACCTAACGGGCCGGATTTGGCCCGCGGGCCGTAGTTTGCCCATGTCAGATCTAGAATAACACATATTGTACCCATCTCAAAAGTAGTTCAAAAGTAGTTACCTTGTTTTATCATTTTATGTAATATTTTGGTGTTGCTTATCCTAACCTACCTTCAAAATTTTCTTTTACAGATTATCAGGTGGTCGTCTTTTTGATTATTTGATTCATCAGAAGTCAGTCAAGATATCGGTACTTGCTGACGTTGTCGCACAATTGTTAGAAGCTCTTTCGTACCTTCATGGACAAGATATCGCACATTTGGACATCAAGGTAATGTGTTTCAAATTTGTCTCAAAATTGTTTATTTTATGAGGAATGACACTGAGTTTAAGTTTTTATTTTTGGTGTTTGAGTGTTTTCTATTCGTAATCTAAACTATGATTAGAAAGTAAAGTATGTTATGAAGACCCCTGCTCTATTTTGCTTTTAAGGTGTTTCATTCGTAATTTTTGGCGCCACGTTTATTACATAAGATGTCAACAAACAAAAGTTAAAGAAAAATGGAGTTTGCTCATAGAATTAACTAAATGGATGACTATCTTTTTACTTTAAATTACTGTAGTCTTCACACACTGTGTGTATTCGGCTTTGATGTTTGTATACTTGCTTACTTTTTTCTTGTTATTTTCAGCCTGAAAACGTTTTGGTGAAATCGACAACTCCAAATCCCGAAATTTACCTCACTGACTTTGGTGATTCAGTTCAACTAAAACGTGGTACGAGCTACGTTCATAAAGTACTAGGATCACCAGAATTTGTGGCACCAGAAGTTTTACGCGGTCATCCTACTACGACCGCTGCAGATTTATGGAGTTTGGGTGTTGTCACTTACTCTATGTAAGAATGGTGGTTACTCTATTTAGTTGTTAAACTAGTCATGGGATACGAATCTTCCAGATGTTTGTCAAAAAAAGGAAAGGATAAGATACATAATCGCGCAGCAGTCCACCCACAGTTCACAACAATTTAGCGAAGCGTCTCGTATGTCAACTTTGTGTTCAATAATAACATGATCTGACATTAGGTTGTATCCGGGATATAACTTCTCCATGTATTGTTATAACACAGACATCCCTCGTGTCATCTCAAGTGTTCATTGTATTCATTATATCCATCATTATTTATGTCTCGATAAGGTAACTTTAACCTTCCAGCGATTTTTGGTTGTTTCCTACCCTTGCTCTGAACTAGTCTCTACACAAGCAAGTATTTATTGCATTCAGAGATGATGAGCATAAATATTATCTGAAATTTATCAAGTTTCATTTAATCATATACCTTTGAGTAGTTGTATGCTTTACTGTTGCAAATTAGCACTAAATTTCAATGTAATACCCGTGTCAATTGGGGCGAATACTACGTTAATCACTGAGTTGAGTCTCACTGGCGTTTAGTTGAGTGTGAATCAGAGTCATTTCATTTAGATTACTCGAGTCACTTTTGAGTCTTTAAATAATAGCTAATTGAGTTCAGCTCGCCTTGAGTCAATGAGTCAAACCTTTCCAACACTTGTATTGACCATCTTAAGAGGAGATATAGCTTGCTTGTTATTAAAAACCATGATATGGACAAAAATGTTTATTCGTTGCTTATTTTTTCAGGTTTAGTGGTTTTTCTCCGTTTTTTGATGACAGCTCTGAAGAAATTTGTTCCAATGTTTGTTCTGCTAACTTCACTTTTCCAGAAGAATATTTTTCATTAGTACCTATTCAGGTTAGTTAAATTAAGTTTTTATCAATTGACCTGTAAAAAGTGACGTCATATCACAAATGTGACGTCACACCACATTGTAGCATTTAAAGCAGGCAGTGAAATCATAATAATACGTGATGTTTGGAAAAAAGATGTCATATTACAAAATATGATGTCATAATGAAACGCGATTCGTGAGGAAAGTGATGTCATATAATAAAACGTGACGTCATACGAAAATATAACTGCTGAACTGAGTGGATACCAATTTTTTTTTTCTATTATATTGAAAACTTTCACATTTCAGGCGAAAGACTTTATCAAATCTCTACTGGTTCAATTACCTTCTACTCGGCCGTCTGCAAAAACTTCTCTGAAACATAAATGGGTGAATAAAACTAATCGTAGCTCTTCCCCTACGAAGGATACAAGTTTCCCGACTTCTCATCTGAGCGTTTTTACTGAACGTAGGAAACATCAGGTAATTGCGACTGCATTTTAAAAAAGATTTTAGAGATGAAACATTGGGTTTGGTATATATTAGGTGACGAAATTTATTCATATGAGTTTATATTCATAAAAAATGAATTTAAATAGTAAAATAACGAATTTTTAGATAAAACCATCAGTCGAATCATGTTTTTTTTGCACTAATACAATTTGAAATGTTGGTGTAACATATTATATTCAAAACAGAGCTAAATTTTATTATTTGGTTAGAAATACAAGAAAACTAATTTTATTAATTCTATTTTATTCATTTTCAGCACAATTCATCGCCGTTGTCAACATTTAACAAATAAAGACGTTTTCATCGTGTTACTACTTTTATTTCTCCTGCTTCCACTGCTGGACTTCATTTCATAATTTTGTTTTTCTTGATTCACACTGTCCTCTTATTATTATTTGCTTTCTGTTATGCCGTATTGTGACGTCACATTCATGATAATATAATGTCATAGTGGCGTTATTGAAGACTCGATACTTTAGATTGTTACGAATTTGATGATCGTTTTGTTCCCTATAAATATTATTTTGTTAATTTTTGCCATTTTTAATTGTGATATTCTTGAATTTCAAATCAAAAGTGAAAATTATGTTTTTGTAATTTTTTTGATCTTCTGCCCTTTCTAATTGAACCCATAATAGGGTACTTTGTGTCGCTAATAAAATGAATATTTTTTAATTTTTTGTAAAATTTCACTAATTATATTTAGCATGACAGTATTCCCGCTACAGCATTTGCCTATATACTTATTACTGAATCATGTACGTAAGACAAGTTTAGTTTTTCATGTCATATTTACATCTTCCTTTCATTGAAGATACCTCAACATATTCAAATAGGCGCATACTACCCCAAAAATTTATTAGCAAAAATTGCGAAAAAAAAATTTTCGTCCATATATTTAAAAAAAAATTTGTCACATTTTTGGTTCGAATGAGCTTATTTTGTCATAAAAATCGTTTGATAAATTTTTTTTGCACATTTTTGAATTTTCCGCCATCCTGATTACTTTTTTCTGTCATTTTCTTTTTTCTGAGCGCGATTATATAAACATGCAATTTTTTTCTCCTACGTTGGTGTTACAGCGAAGTCCGTTTTTTCAGAAATTCGTAAAATTAACTAAAATACACCAGTTATTCAAATCAACGCCCTATTTAATTTAATATCTTGCTATGTCAGCCCCATGCATACGGTTTATATAAAATATTGTAGGCCTACTTGTAGTACTCGGTATGGTGTGTTCTATTGCGCATTGATTTGATTACTTTGTATCAACAGTAAATTAACTACGAATCCCTAATAGTGTTTGCTTACTTTTACCATGGACTGACTTTTCTACCAGTATATGATTAAACTATTATTTCTTTTAAATAAATTATTTTTTTTGTTTATTACGTGACGAATCGAAGATTAAACAGAAGCAAAAACATTGTAAGTCGTGAGTTTATTTGTGTGTGGATCATCATATCTGTAGTGTACGTTATACATTGCAGCGGGGATATACGGATGTTTTTCGTTGTAGTTTAGTGGGTAACCCCATTTGAAGGGTTCCACTGTCAACTATTGTGTGTACGCTGGCTTAGCGCTCTTTATCGTTACTATGTCAAAGGAATTACTATGACGCATTGTCATAACTATACTACTCGCAATTATTACAATCACCTGGACACATATGTCCTAAAATCTAAAGCCTTCGAACCAAGTGTTTCGAATGCTACGTCGTACTGCCGTAATGTCAATGTGTGCGTTCTAAAACTTGAAAGACTAGTTTGTGTGTTTAACCGCATCACATAAAATTTTGCCTTTTGAAATTGACGAGGTTATAATTCTCATGCTGTCTGACGGGCCAATCCGGTGATTTTGATGATCCTACTCGCTTACCGGAATCTAACCGAATCATGAATATAATTACTTCTAATTGTATTATTTGGATAACATGTATTATTACACGGTTATTGTCATGAACGACATACCGGAATTTTGTTACTGCTATCGTGTGCTGGCCTGAGGCGTCGGTGCGTTGACAACGAAAATTGACGAGTTTTGATGAATAAACAAACGGTAAATAATGACAGTATCTATTCGTATGTCAATTCCAAATTGTTCATAATTAATACAACATGTTTCATAACTTGCTTCATGTATTCGTTCCGTATCCGAAATATCATTTCCAATTTCGACCATCCCGTTTATAACCTAAAACCGACGTAATGCCAGCCCTCTCGCTACTCGACTCACGTTATCTCATGATACGCTTGATTATAACAGCAAACATTTCGTCAAAGTGAGCCAATGTTTAAACGGACTAGCTTCATAAAACCAAACCTCAAAAAGGCACAGAAGCATGTATGTGAAAACCCGATCCGACTTTGAGTGAAATATTTGTTTGTTTTTGCATTCGATTTGCGGAGAGTGCCACAAGGAGCGTCGATCAAACACGTTTTTGCTTTGTACCCAACGGTGCCTAATGATACGATATTTCGACGCGCAATTAACTAAACAAATTGTTACAAATTATATCGTCAACTCATGACAATGAAAAGTGTAATCATGCAGTAAAAACTTGACAAATCCGGTGACCGATGGTGTTAGGTAGTAGCCACGTGCTTTACGAGAACCTGTTGTGATTTATTGCTCTTTTCTCACGCGTAATACTGGGGTCGTGGGGTCATTTGTTACCCAAACTGTCACCAAATTCGCATAAAACTGCCACACTGCATAGTAAAATGTCATTTTTAAATTGCCAATGTCAGAGATAACGCAATTGATTGAAAGTCATCTTCAAGAGACAGAAAGTTTATTACGGTAGTTTGTATTTGTATTTTGGGTGGCGGCGCGACCTTTTCCAATTGTGCCGTCAGTAGGTTTCGATGAATGAAAATTCGCTCACTTTGTTGGGTGTTAAGTTTTATATCGTGTACTTGTTAGTAAGGTCGCGATCGAAATACCTTCGACGACGTACCGGTAGTATAGGTGTTCAAGGCGACAGATTATTTTATTCGTCAACAACTTTACCGTCAATTTCTTGAAGCCGCAGTAAATTTGTGGACTGTAGAGAGAGATATTACGCATTAGAAAAATATTTTTATATATCATACGTTGGTATTAGACCTTCTAAGCCACAATTATTTACAGTCCATTTCACAACAGGTTGAATAAAAAGTGTTCGACCAGCATTTGTGTGGGAAAAAATTAGACTAGACATGCGTGATAGTTATTTTGAAAAAGTCTCGTCTTCCGTACCTTGAATCGGATAACATTAGGTAGCAAAACATAGTTGAACATTTGTAAAATTTCCGATATATTTATTATCAAAAGACAATAATCCGCAAGCAATCTGAATACTTTTGATATCACGATTATCAGCGCCAGCTATCAAGTAATAATTGCGTCATTTTGCATACCTTCTTTCAAAACAATGAACCTTGTTTCAATTCATTGAACGTGGCGATTATTTTCGAACTTCGGAAATCTGATGCTGCAGTCGTAATTTAAGGCATAAATGTTTCATTATAAGCTCAAGTCCATCGCATAAATTGAAAATTCTGTTATGCTTTCATGTACGAAATCACGTGCAAATAAGAAGGATCATTACAATTAGTTAATGTTTATAGCAGTTTGTTAGTAGCAATTTTCTTTTCATGATACCATTAATATGAATAGAGTACAGGGCTTTATATCTTGTTGTCACATTTTGTAACATTTATACCTGATTGTCCCGAAAGATAATCGTATAACTGAGCGAACTTTATACTAAATTTACACGTTTCGTTTACAAATTGTACAAGTCACAAGTTGCTCAACTCGTGTGCTTGACGAACGAACACGTTTTTCTGGATGCCTCCGGGGTTTAGGTTAAAATAGAGACCTTTATCGTTGTTTTAGTTATAGAGCATGGATGCCCGAAGTATGGTCCTTATATGCAAGAAGCTGGTGCAGAATTAATTTTTATTGGTCAAAAAGAAGGCGTAAAACATGTCTGGGAATTATTCTTCAGGCATTTATTCGTTTTAAACACACAGGTGTAAGCTCAGTTTAGTTGCTGGCTCAGAGGGAAGGCATATGCTCTGGTTACAAGTATCGAGAGTACAGAAATATCTTTGCAGATTGGAGAAATAAAGCATTTTCGCGTTTCAATCAACGTTTAACGTAGTTGAACTAAGAAATATTTCAGTCGTCTCTTATTCATTTTACGGCAGATTTCCATTTAATCTATAAAAATAGTTAAAAAAATTCAACATCAGCGAATCGTCACTGAACAACGGTGAGTGAACTCTTTCATCATAGAATAGTTTAGTTAAAAGCTCCCAAAAAATTAGTTGGAAATCGGGCCCAAAACTTTGTCTAATTACTTCATGTATATTTTTATATAATTTTTCCAACACCCAGGCTAATAGACCTCAACTGAAATTGAATAAATCACTGATAAGACAGTCGAAAGTCAGCACTGGTGCGCTAAAATCAACCTTGGGTGCAAGACAAATACGTTACACGTCGCTGTCTGATTCATATTGTGTGATTTTCGAACCAAATATCTGAATGGAAACTTATACAAGTGATCTACTTTGAATTTACTTGCACTTCCAAATATTTAGGCAACTCAGTTCGCAAACGAACTCTTGTGCTCCCGGCCTTATTCGCGGCGAAACCACAAAAAAAACATGAAACTCCGGTTTCACCTGTAATCTCACTGCATTAAATCAGTCTCTAAAACGAAGAATAGTTCGTATTTTATTGGTTTATGGCTGTAAATCAGTACTTAAAACTATAACATAAGTATTTCCATTTATAAATTGACAGTTTGATTCTTCGGAAAAGACGATAGTCACGTTGACCTGAATAAGCTAGCCTTCAAGAATTGCAAGCAGTGTTTGGGGAAAAGCACGGATATTCATTTTCAGTTCTAAATCGTCATCGAAGAAAAATAAAAGAATTAAAAATGCCGAATTACGGGACGTCGATTATGTAAGTCATGTTTTATATGTATTTGATTTCTATTACGATATTACCTTTCCTTCCATTAATATATTAGATGTCATGTTATATACTTTATTTATTCAATATGCCATATTATATATATATGTGTGTGTTTCTTCAATTGGCCAAATGCAATCACATGTTATTCGAATAGTTCGTGGAGTCAATGTTGGGTAGTTGCCAGATTTTTTATAAGTAAAACTCTATATTCATCACAAAATGTGGTACAAATTTGATTTCTTGTTATTGATTTATTCATATATTGCTATCTATCACATTGGTCATTGGTGCCCATAGTGACTTTCGAGTATATTTAACGTGTATCATCGCATATTAGGGAAACTTGTACATAGCCTAGTTCAGAAATGTAATGTAAATACGTTTCACGAATGAGAGTTAAACTGCATCAAGTCTGCAACTAATTCATGAGACACGCCTAAAATGGCATTTGCCATTATCTGTTTCACACGTAGAAACATTCAGATAAGATTGAATAGCATATTTGAGGCAACTGATTACATTTTCTAAGCAAGCTGAAACAGTATTTATAATATATGAATTTTGTGACTTTATGCATACGATGCAGCCAAGTCGTTATAGGATTGCAACATGTTTGAGTAATGTTGAGTAAGACAAAAAGCCACAGCCGACGTGGCTGAACTTGTTTATGTCTGGCTTCAAATTCCACATTTACAGTTTTGCCCTCCGGGTCGGCTTAGCTTACTCAAAGCTTGTCAACTTGATCAAAACCAATTTTAAAGAAAATTAGAGTCCTAAGATAAGTTAAACAGCCGATGAATCTTTGTGATATATGCTTCTAATTATACGATACAAAAGTGGAAACATGTCTGTTCTAATTGTCAACAATTTAGAATCTCGTAATTTTACAATTATCGTCATTTAAATTTTATCACGACGATGGCTAATCCTCGAAATCTGAACGGAATTTGAGAATAACCCCACTTCTATCAATAATGTAGCTTTAATTCTTTACGTTGAGGATGGCCATAATCGCATCTTATTTTTTTTTTTAAATTAACAACAATTACAAAATTTAAATTCAGTATAGGATATCCTATTGGAAACAACTTAATCGAGATGATATCCATAGCCAGACATAAGTGTTACATCTGCAATTAGTCTATTTTCGGAAAAGCGCCAAAGGTGGGAAAGCCCTACATTAATGATTATCACTCAATTGTAAATTTTGGAGGTAATGACGCATGAACCATATTTCAATTCATTCGACAGAATTTCATTCATGTTGAAGGCGCGCAATATTTAAAGAAATGGAATTTTTTCTAAGATACTTTAATTCAAGAAATATGCAAGTATCCCAGCAGCATTCCCATCGAATATCAAACACTGCAACCAAATCATTTCTCAAACATATATATAGAAGTAATTCTATTCAAATAGAATTAAACAATATCGCGAAAAGTGGTTCTTTCATCATGAATTCTTATTATGACGTCACCCCTTCCTAAGGACTAATCACTACGGACTAAATTACATCACAGATGATAGTGTCATCCCTGTAAGAGTTCGCTTGTTCTTATCTTAGTATGTACCAACGGGGTTAAAACTCCATTTTAATATGCAATATACACTACAAAAAAAATTATTATATCAAGATATTTTAGTTTTGGGCCGATAGCTTCTTCGCATTCAGATCTCTGTTTTTTTTTAAATTGGTTTCTCCGCTTCCAATGATTCAGTTGAGAAATATTTCAACTGTCTTTCGTCGAGATGGCCATGACTTGGAGTTACGTTCATCCAAGGCACAGTATTGGATAAATATTTTTGTCCGAGTGGGTCAAAGGTGATCAGACCATTTAAATCCAGATATTTTCCCCATGTGACCAATAATAAAAGTTACTAAAGAACACTCATTGATTCGTGAAAGTAAAACCATAAAATATCAGGTCAGCGACACCTATTCACTGTAGTTTATAGGGCAATACGTTCATAGCGTCATTCATCAAAGTCCTACGCAGGGCGTAACCCGTTACGCAAAATAAACGTAGGGCGTCAACCCGAGACACGTTAAAAGTATTGTGAATAGATCTATTTGATCTTTTACTATTTTGCCACTATGGACGGATGCTTTTCAATTAAATAAAGCGACAAAATTGGATCAAGCTTGGAAGATATATGCTTTATTAAAAAGGCCTTGCGTGGTTAATGATGACATTTGGGTTAAATTTACGACACTTGTAACTTTTTTTCGTGGAATGTGCGTCAAACTTTTGAAGTAGTAGTTAAACATTAACCAATAGAGGCAAAAAACAGTAACTCGATAAAAAAAACGAGTATTGGGTAAAATGCAAAGAAGAATACGTATGTATTGTATTGGACGGGGTAAAACTTATCCATTGCAAATTTGGGGACTCTAATTAAGTAAGCAAGACAGGTCGAACAAATCTAACATTATCGAAAATTCTTTTCGTCATACAATACAGAATAGGCCCACGTTTCAGAAGCTTCAGATATTTGTATTAGATATTGGTGTACTTGGGATTCAACAAATATTTGGTAAGTAGGCTATAGAGCATGATGTTACTTTTTCAAGAAGATTATTGAGTCTGTTTTATGACTACGTGATATTTTTGAAATTTGGTGGTAACACACATTTATATCAAGATATGTCTTTGACAAGTATGAACTTCAAATCAAAATATATATTAATAAACTGTTAAACCTACTTTTTCTGCATTTTCGTTTAGTGTAATCCCAACTCTTTAACTCATTAAAAATTATTATGTTTTTGAAAAGATCGAAATGGAATTGTCATAAATTTAAAACCGCCGGGCCGCTTTTATCTGGCGGCTTGGTACCTTGCTTTGAGCTAACTTTGTGGGAAAACCTAATTAATTTTAAGGGCGTAAGTTTGTCATATGTGACCCGGTCAATATATTTGTCATAAGAATAAGTTTGAAACGTACCTGGTTGTACATGTCGATGCTAATTTATCCTAAATTAAGCTAATCATGTATGACGAACTCCAATTGTATGTATATATATGTGTTAAAAATATTTGGGGTCTTCGTTGGGGTTATGAAAACCTGTCTTGATTCTAATATAATTGAACCCATCACCTGTCGGTGTATATCAATAAAAGCACCTTTACCGATCAGTACAACGGGCTAAAACAGGATTGCAATATACGAGAAAGTCGATGAAGACATGTCGTCCTTACGACTCATCACACGTAATGTTTATTAATTACGTCCTTTGTTTGTTTATTTTTCACGCAAAGGTCGTGCGGGCGACGTGCGGGAGGTAACGTTCTGCAGCTTGGAAAACGTGCCAAGTTCCACGTCCATCGTACAGTAGAGGTTATTTATGTTTTGACCGATCGTCCTCATGGGCAGCTAGTTTAATTTGTTATGTCTTCAGTGTTTATATTTAGCTAGTTTAGGGGTTAGGGTATAATATAAAAGAAAAGTTGCCTGCCCGAGGATTTGTAGTTCTGGGATTCTTCGTGTTCATTATTGCAGTGCTGTGGAAGGTCGCACATACAGAAATAAACGACAGAATTCGAAATTTAGAAAGTGAGACAAGAGTGACAAAATAAAATGCTCAGGTAAATTGATCGACTGAGTGCTGGAGTGTGGGATATAAGTTTTGCTATTTGCCGTACCGTCTGACCGTATCTTTCACATCTGCTGAGTGCATGCGGCAGTCAATTAAGCAATATAGTCAATTTTTCTGTTTGTCACAGTAGACTACCGGTACCGGTACGGTATTAGATGAAATTGATCATCAAACCCATTTTTAATTAAGGTTAAAACATTAATTCTGGTTATTATGAAACACCTGAATAATGCATGCTGAGTAAAGAAGTATGAAAATCCCATCTTTTTCTTCAAGATCTTCACTGATTTCTTTTTGCATGAACATTGAAAGCATGTATTCAGGCATTACAGCATCAGCTGCTTGTTCCACAATATCCACAGCCTGACAGCAGAACAGTAATGTTACTACAGTACTAGTAGTACCGTACCGGTGACTCCTTACAGCCTTAGAAGCACTTAAAATGATTGACCTGAAAAAGCATGCTTCAGTGCTTTGGGTAGATTTTTCAGAACGAGCGAAAGCAGACATTGTCAAATTGATAACTCCGTAAATCTGTAAATGGCAGAAGCTAAGAAAGTTTGCACTTCATCCACTTGACTAAATAACTTATTTGATCAAGAGGAAGGCAATTTGTATTTTTATTGTGATCTATTCTCTTCGCTCTTTGAAGTAATTCTCAATCCCTCTCCTACCTGTGCATACATAATATCTTTTATATACCTATTATATTTTCTGAAGATCAATTCATTATATTTTGTAAATAATTCTAAATAACATAATCGATCGAGCGGCCCAATTCTGGATGTTTAAGATAATTGATAGGGCTAATCAGTTATTTAGCCACTACTAGAATTATAAGGGCATGAAAAAGCTGATATTGAGATTCGGCGATGAAGCTATAGTTCACATAAACTGCTTAAAAGCTCAGTGAAATATGCGTATACTTCACGCCTTTATAGTAAAAGATACACAATTATTTAAAACTTGATGACAACGCAATATACATTCCAAGTAAAATATAAATTCCAAGTGAAAAATATAGATTAGTTACATTACCTAAAATTCTTTTTCACGATTGACTCATGCTAATAAAGAAATTTAATATGAGTAAAATATATATTCCTAGAAAACCAATGGTATGTTGATTAAAACGAGGACTTACCTAAGACCAGAAAAGTGAGCTTGTTCCATCGTTATTCGTATCAAGGACACATAAGAGTCTAACTCAGAAATATCAATATTAGCATACATTATCCAAAGAAGATGTTTGTTTAACACTTGAAAATATATTTGCACTCATAGATAGCTTTTTCCACATTGTTTATTTCTCAATACAAGAATAGGCTCGTAGAATTATGATGTTTGAAGAGTGCTTTAGTTCCCAGACTATCAAAACTTGTCCTAGTAGTTAGTTATCAATCTCTGCAGTTTGTTAATTAATTATACCTAGATATGGTTTGCTGATAGAAAATTATAGTTTGTATAAGTGAAGGTTGCACGGGGAGCAATTGTGAGTTTATCTTCAATATCATCGGAGTTAAATATATACAATATTAATTTCTAATTATGAAAATGCAGAAGAAAAAACAGAAAAGCATATGTTTTTGATGACATAACCAATTCCCAATTGAGCTATATTGCTAGCAATATATCTTAGCAAATGGTCGATTGAAGTTGGGCTTATGTCATATTCACCATTTTCTTGGCAAACATCAGTATTATTGAATTTAGAAAAAAAATTTATGGAACCAAGTGTACGTATGAATCATTCCGCTAAATTGCTGTTGTAGGGAGTGACTTTTGCGAAAAAAAATTGCTTTTTTGTATAACTAATGAATCAATAAAAATTTTCAGTACTAGGTAATTAATGGAAGTAATTGCCAAAGTGATGCACTACTTTTATTTTTTCAAATTTCCACAGAAAATCTCGCTGTTTTTTTATAATTTATTAAAACACTGTTTTTATTGGGTAAATGATGCCACATTTCGGTGTAAAACATGTGTTTTACAATCATAACCGTTACGAACAAAATTAATTGCTGCTCAGATTCTTGTTCAAACATAATGCTGTATGTAATGTACTATTATATGTATCATATAAGTTATACACAGTTACCTACGTTAATGATTAGCTAACTGTTATAAAGGGTATTGCTATTAATTCCAGCAGATAAAGTGGATGTCAGTTAGCTTATTGACAGTATGGATATTCAGACCAGAATTTTTAGGTATTTTAGAATCCTGTCTTGCAACTAGGATTAAGGATTATCCGATTCATTTTAGAAATATTGTGATTTAGATTTACCGGTATGTTATATTTCACTTGAATAACAGCAAGTTTCAGTTTTCCAATTTTTTTCAAATGGCATTTCATTTGAATAACATTTTTTTTAAATCTATGTTACAAGTTTAGTTGTTATGATATAGAAAAAGTGAACACTGCTCTCACTCTGCATTGAATCAAATTGTGGTTAACTTTACATAAATCGAACCATGCCTACACGGCATGCCTTTACATGATGTAATCCGGATGGAATGAAAATCGCCTGCATAGGAGCTTTTTATTATTCGCTCGTTATCTGATAGGAAAATATAGGGTGTCCATGAAGTCTTAAAAATTTTTAAATTTGCAGAGGGAATTTCTCGATACCATATATTGCGTTGGCCCTCACATATGTTTTTAATGAAGTAAAAATACTTGAACAATTTCTTATTAAAAAACAAACCTGGTTAAGATATATTGAGAACTAGACCTCATAACAAAATTGAAATTGACACCCTGTTATTTCTCGTGCATTGATTATAAAATTTCCACAACAATAATGCAATATAGCTACATGGATTTTAACGAGTACACCATGTTTCATTCTTAAGGAGTTCTCAAATATATTAAATCCATTTCTCTAATTGCCCTCTAGCAGAGATCAATATTTAATATCTTTGATAATTATCAGATTATATCGCTTAGTGTATTATAATACAACTGAGATACTCTCACTACTCGACAGTTTTGTTGACTGAAGAGGAATATGCCAGGCCACAGGTTTGAATTATGATTTGTGTGGGTTTTCTGTGTATTCAATATTTTATTTAGAGATTCAAGTACCATTTGTTATAAAACTTTTTTCTTCTAAAGATTGTATAGATAGCATGCATTTATAGAATCATATAGAATGTCATAACCAAATGTTTCAGTATGTTTGAGTCACTCTCAGCAAGTCTTCGATTGTTTTCTCTATTGTTAGTTCAGTTTATGATCGCAATTTTGATGTTGTTAAAATCGCATCCAGCGTTTTAGTGTTTCGTCATATATATGGTAACTGTCTGTACCATATTGTATATACGGTAGTTTGCATTAGACATTATATTAGATTTTTTTTATGAAAAGTAGCTGTTCTGATTATCTACAGCAACAATTAATATTCGAATTAAAATACAGGGTAGGAACTGTACACTACTTTGGGCCCTATCGCTGTAAAATGAGCTCAATTGTTGTAAAGAAGCAATAATAAAATTTCACAATCTTCATGGTGTAATTGATTTCATTACCTATAATTCTGTTCCTAAATGTGAACCTGTAGGAAATGTAAATACAGGGTAGATAAAAAACATTTCCGGCCATGGAAATATAAAAGGGCATTTAGGGTAGTTTTTGTTTGCAATGACCTCTGATGCAATAATGAATCAGGAAATTGCGATTTTATTTCCATGTATTGTAAGTTAGGCTGAAGTCTGCAAATACCTTTATACATAAATAAAAAAAAATTCATTTTCAATCATGATATGCATCATCGATTCATCACTGGCCCAGATGACTTTGAAGCTGCATATTCTCTTGTGTTTTTGATTTCACATATAGATATACCTTTTATTTTTGAACACAACTTCCATTCTAGACTATATTGTTAATGATTGTTCCATTCTTTTTGTACTAAAAATGGCTATTCCATATGATAGTAGTAATTAATTGTATGTGTGGTCACCCGTACATTAATGTTCTTAAATATACATTAGAAAGGGTATAAAAATACTTCGATAATAGTGTCTTATTATAACCATCTTGAATATAGGGAGTTGATAAATCTAATTATCATAGTTGGTATCACTGTGCTTTGTTCAGATTATGTTGCCCACTTTATTTGCTTTAATTTATTTGATAATCTTTTTTATCCGCTGCATTTAGGTCGCACATTTTCATTCCAACTTTTGCATTAATATTTCAAATATTGTGTTGCAGGCGTACACCGAGCATGTTGGAATTCCAACAAATGATGAAGATCGAAGCTCAGACTGCCCTAAAGAATGAGTTAGATCGTCTTGTCATGACAGGATCACCACTTGAAAGAGAAAAATTGAGGAAACAATATGAAGGTTTCCAGCATTTATACAAAACATTCTTGGAAAAAACAGGGCCATCTGTAGTTTGGGATAAAATCAAACCACCTCCTGTTGGCTCAATTCATAAATATAATGAGATTGCCAAGACACCAATGAAATCATCAGAATCTGATCTTCTGAGTAAATTAGTTGTTGTGAAGTTAAATGGTGGTTTGGGTACAAGTATGGGATGCACTGGCCCAAAAAGTTTGATATCAGTTCGAAGTGGATTGACGTTCCTTGATCTCACTGTCCAGCAAATTGAATCTCTGAATAAGCAATATAATGCCGATGTTCCTTTGGTACTAATGAACTCTTTTAACACAAATGAAGACACTGAGATGATTCTGCGGAAATATGCTTCGTGTAAAGTTCGAATTCATACTTTTGAACAAAACCGTTATCCAAGAATCAATAAGGAAACTCTTCTTCCAGTTCCGCAGCGACTCGATGGTGAACATGAAGGCTGGTACCCTCCCGGTCACGGAGATATTTATGAATGTATCCACGAGTCTGGATTGCTTCAAAAATTCATAGATCAAGGCAGAGAATACATGTTTGTGTCAAATATTGACAATCTTGGTGCTGATGTGGATTTACATATTCTCGATATGCTCATAAATCCTCCAAATTGCCAAACCCATGATTTTATTATGGAGGTCACTGACAAGACCAGAGCTGATGTAAAGGGAGGCACTCTCATCCAATATGAGGACAAATTACGTCTTCTTGAAATTGCGCAGGTTCCAAAGGAGCATGTCGATGAGTTTAAAAGCGTTTCCAAGTTCAAAATTTTCAATACTAATAACCTATGGATGAAACTTTCTTCGATCAAAGAGCTCGTCGAGAATAAAAACATGGATATTGAAGTTATTGTGAACAATAAAAGGCTCTCAAGTGGAACAAATGTCATTCAACTTGAAACGGCTTGTGGTGCGGGAATCAAAAATTTCCAAAATGCAATCGGTATCAATGTTCCGAGAAGTCGTTTCCTTCCTGTTAAGAAAACATCCGATCTTTTGTTGGTGATGAGCAATCTTTACGAGTTGAAGCACGGAAAAATGTTCATGAGTGAGGATCGCATGTTCAAGACGACACCTCTGGTGAAACTAGGAGACGAGCATTTTTCAAAGGTTCACAAGTATCTGAGTAGGTTCGAGGCGATTCCAGACATGCTTGAGCTCGACCATTTGACAGTGAGCGGTGACGTCACCTTCGGAAAAGATGTCACGTTAAAAGGAACTGTTATCATCATTGCAAATCATGGTGAACGCATCGATATCCCATCTGGAGCAATTTTAGAAAATAAAATTGTATCTGGAAATCTTCGCATTCTTGATCATTAATCAGCTTTCACACAATAAAGTTTTTTGCTTGTTTTGTTTCAAAATGTGTTTTTGCATATTGCTTGTTTCAATTGATCAAACTCTTTATGGTGCTTAATGAAATGACTTATCTTTTGAATTCATCGGTGAAATTTTGCGCAGCTAACTGTATTTTTTTAACACAATATAATTTCTGTATGTGAAACTTTGAAAGATTTTTTTTTGATCTATAACCAAGGCTGTGTAAGTTGAGAAAAAATATATTGTTTATATTCACGTCACTTAAAAATTTCAATTATTTTCCCGGGTTGATACAAAATTTGAACTTGAAAAGATGTCAAATTGCAACTAGTTTCATTTATAACTTTAGAATAACGTTTTCCAAAACCTGAAATTCTAATCTGACTTTTTACTTGATAAGGAATTTAAATCCAAGCTGATGAAAGTTTTAAATTTGATTTTTTTATCAGCAACACGAAAAATGCATAAATCTGCAAATTGCACAACCCATAACATATTTAAGATATTATATAATATATTAATTTCATATAAATGTAATATATAACCAGTGGTAATTCTTTATTAGGATTTTCCCTGCTGTATGTTTAGGTTGTACATCGTTTATTTTGTTAACTTTTTTTATGTTACAATTATCATCATGCTTACGCTGTTTCTGATATTCCATATGGTAGAGCAGTTGATCAAAATATCACATTAATAGTATAATTTATTAAAAATTGCAAATGTATAACACTTTATTAATATTAATAAAACAATTTTTTATTTTAGCATATTAATCTATTTAAATTAGCATTTTTGGTGCTAAATTTTATTTTAATTGCTCTAAACATGTTGTATATTTTTTTTGTTTTAGTTTTGCTGGGCAAGTGTAGGAAACAGTTGGAATAGAGTCTGCCCTATTTCTCTTTTCAGCCTTGGCAATCAATATAATCAAATTTATATTATGGGATGTACTTCGAAACCTTCCAATAAATAGTTTTTTCAATTTTTTCTAGTTTGCTTCAAAATTATTGGGAAATAGAATGCAATGTGCATATTTCATAGCTATCTATAGTTTGGGCCAAGTTACTCTGCTCAAATTTTGTCACTCGATAATTCGATTTATATAGTATCAAAATATAAACATGAGAGCAAATTTGTTTGATGAGTTAGAAACACTCTTGTATGTCATCCTATGACATATTATTTTGTGAAATCAAAAATTAATTTTTTTTAGTGAGGTCGAAATTCTGAATATACATGATATGAATGAACTAGGTATATATAAAAAGCCAGCTTGTTGCTTATAATATTTTTTTCGAGAATGTGGTTTGTCCCAAATCCAATGACATCAGACCGTCAGTTTTCATCCCGAATATGCTTTATTGCGAGTTTCATATTGATAACTAGAGTACTATATGCCTGCCTATTTTCAGGCAATTCTTTTAGTTTGCTTAGAGCACAATAGTATTTTTTTCGCTTTTCATACGAGCCAGTTATGCGATTGAAGTATGACTCGATTTTTTTTCTCGATTTAAGCTTAAATATTGAGTTAACATACTTTTGCAACTTATAGTATAGAATTAAATTGTGCATGTTTTACATTCGTTTCCAGTGTCATTCACCCCGTCAATATGGTGCGTATGATAATGAACACTGTTAAATTTAACGAGACGGCCTGAAAAAAAACTTGGTCATTTATTTTTAAATCATTCTATGTTTTTTCATGCTTTATGATGAATTGGATTTGGGTTTGTATTGTATTTGTGGAATTGCTTGGAGATTGCGGTAGCTATACTATTATATATGATGCACTTACAATAAAAAATCTTATGGAAATTAGTGAATTTGTTTTGTCACCCCTAAGGGTCACAACTGGGAAGTGTAGGTAGGTATATTGCATGCTAAAATGCCCAATGCGATTTGAGCCCCCGCTTCAGGATGAGGATAGGATCAATTTACATATTTATCCCGGGGAAGAGGAAAACCGATAAGACGGCTTAATCATATGGCGAACCACGGCCTCTCGCCCGGTTACGGTACCAGGTCTGGCGTGGGATTAGTTGGCCAGTTATTTGTTTTCGAAAGCATGGGCTTTATGGTAGAGGTTGCTAGGACTTTACATTCAGCTATCGCGGCAGGTTGTTTTGTGAAATATGCAAGAACTAGATGTTTATTCTTTTCCTACATGCATTGCTGTTTGAAAAGCAACAATTCCGTGTTTTCGCATAACCCAAGCGTGTATGGTGTTTACCAAGTACACAAAAAGAAAAGTCAATAATAAAAGGCTCACTAACCTACATTTTTGCGATGTACTTCACAGTACATTCTGTATTTTATTGTGAACTAAGCGGATACATGCCAAGCGCCATATTCAGTATAAACACCTTCACTCAAAAACTGTACAGAGGAACCCAGCTGTCATTTTTATGCTTTCGACATAAAAGTATCTTTTGAATATTACTATCTGGAGAATAAATGTAAGCGATATAAATTTATACAGAATATAAATAAGTTCATAAAATCCTGAAGTAACAGTTGGTCGTTTACAAGAAGTGACGATTTCTTCGCAGCGTCACGTTTTCTGTTGAATTCAAGTCACTTTAAAGTTGATGTTCTTGCTTTCTATCGATGCATTATTGTTTCGTGTGACATTGCTAGAAGCTCACTTACTCACTCGCATGCTATATCAAGTTTTCCTAAACCTTATCATCTTAATTTTAGTCGTATTTGTGTTTTTGGCAATGCAAAACAAAATTTTTATGGAACATTTTGTATTCCCACTAATATTGCACCACATCACAACCGAGACAACAAAAAAATCTATCAATTTTTCTATTTCTTATAAAGTGTTGCCCTGTTATTCTGATCAGTGTTTGCATAATCAAATCGATTTATTATCGTGTATTTTTATTTTATTGTGTTATTTGACTGTTTTTGGTGGACGGGCGCGTATTTTTACGTTTTTAACTTTGTCTTTAAGTTATGCTCGCTTGTTTTGTCTGTCTGTTGTTGTTTTGTTTTATACCAAAGCGACCAAAATAAGATTGATTGAAACAACAAATCGACGATTGATATTCATATAACAAATGCCGGTATGAGCATGAATAACGGAACGTCTTGATCGAATTCATAAGTTGGGAGCCTGCTTGTGAGTCAGTTTTCCGTCGGGGGTTTGCGATATAGCGTAGGCTACATTGTAATACTGGTATCATTCCTTTCAGTTCCGTGTGCGATTGTCAAGAATTTCGTGGCTGCAGTCAACCGGGACATTTGTTTCGATCCTAATCTATCCCATTGGAATGTTGTTATCTATCCAAATAAAATGTTTTCAAGCACTCCCCGCGCCTCGGAGGTTTGGTGCATCGTGCTAAGCGTCAGGAACACACTCTCCACCGCATCTCCCGTGGGGGGCAATTATGTGCGAGAGGATTGCTCGACTATTCGCCGCCGTAGGGTGGTTAACGTAACAGCTGGTCGGTTGCGGCTTCCTCTACCATCAAGTCCATGCATCTGAAATAACTAATTGCCCAGCACAATACCCGGTATGGACTGGTAACCGATAGAGAGGTCGTGGTTCACCATATTATTAAGCCGTTTTATCGACTTCCTCTCCCGTGGGATAAATATATATGTTAATAAATATCTTATTCCTTCAACGGTAACAGTGGCGTAGCCACTCCTAAATTGGGGGGGGGGGGCAAATTTGAAAATTTTAGAAATTATATTGGGTTTAAGACACCCCTTCTTCAAGCGCGAAACAACAACAGTTTATCAATAAGCAAACTGATTCAACAACTCAGCTGGCTTTTTGTGAATACAAAATCCAACCCCATAACAGAGTTGGGTGCAAACTAACCAACTGCAAAATCTGTCATCGTCAAGCCATTTTTTGAGAAATTTACGACGACTTTGTCTAACGGTATCCAGAATCGTCACGTTTTTCGGACCATCCGAAGTTAGAAGCCTGTATCTCTCCGCATCGGTAAGCTGCGTATGTTTCTTCAGAATAAATCCAAGATCGTTTGTTTTCCCTTCTTTGAATATTAGTTTATCTTCGGGAATAGAAGTGATAGACGTAACCGGTGCATCCACAGCCTGAGTAGCGCTTATTGATGTATTTGAGGAAAGCGACTCTTTATTTCGCTGAAAAAAACTATCGCATTTCGCCTGTTTAAATTTAGCCATCGAAGTAATTTGGTCATCAAAATCCAAGCGTCCAAAATATATAACCGGCGAGAACAAATCAAGACCGAGTAACTGACCGAAAGCTAAACTGGTGGATTAGGAATGGAATTCTCGAACATTTTTTTAGGAGGGGGGGCCATGGCCCCCCCTGGCTACGCCTATGAACGGTAACTTGGTACGGTACTCTGATATGACTGTGTCGGCTGAGAATCTTTCAAAACAAAGGTAAAGCGACTCCCCATATCACGTTAGCGACCAAATATGGATCTAAATAAGGCCTACGTCTGAAGAGCGGATCGTTTTTTACCCGCAGTGATTGGTAGCTAATTATGGACATGCTTCACGATATTTCGTGGGGAAACTATTCTTGTTTTATGTGACACAGCCGGCTTGTACTGTACTGTGGGTGGTTATCATAATATCTAATTTTCAATAGTTAGTATTCTTAGACGGATTTAGCTCAAGGAAGATATTGCTGCGTCACTCAGAACAAGGATCTTTTATTCAGTATTCGATATTTAATTTCAGTATCACCATTTCCGGGTTAACGAGCTAGAATTCATTCCTTTCAATTATCATGGCGGTAATTCATCAGGCAGTACGAGGTGTTGAACCGGAGGTAAATTTATTCCATTACCAAGGTATGCTGATGAACATAATGTTATGTCAAGATCCTGAAACTTTAGTTTCCAAGTCTGTATAATGCTCATAATACAATAGGCTTGATAGTTTGATTACGCAAGTGAAGAATCATCTGGAACAGACATTGCCAAACTAGGCCCGCGGGCCAAATCCGGCCCGTTGGGTGATTCATTCTGGCCCGTCTGATGTCGCCATGACTTTTAACCAAAATGTGCATGCTCAACTTAGTTGTCATTGAAATGAAAATGTAGTTCCAGACATACATGGAAATAGATCATGCTATTCTTATTTCGATAATATTTTAGTGGTAAGAAATTATATTTTCACTAATTGTTGCAGTGGCGGCGCGTGGTCATTTTGACAACCGGGGCAATCTACTGCGGGACCAAGTCACCCCCATCTACGGGGACAGGATGAGCGATGTAAGTTCTCCCATCATTTTATGAGTATAAAAACCATTCCATCGGTAACAACCAATCGGCAAAAGCGACAATTTTTAACGATAAGAAAGTGTCTTTAAAACCGGTCCAAGTCAAGGGACTAATAAATATAGACATAGTTTATTTTGAAACCTCTTTCAGAAGGAAAGGCAATATTTACCCAGATAAATACAATGACATATTAACAGAAACTTCGGGAAAGCAGACAAAACCTAAAATAAGGTTTAAAACGTTACTATGAAGAAAGGAAAGCTAATGCAAAGATAAGGACATGCGTCGCTCACTCATAGATATATATGCTGCTAGACTTCTACTGCTTGAACATATATGCAACACGCCGCGGTTTCTTGGAAGCAAAATGCTCAATATCGCGCTGATTAAAGTCATGCATCCGAGAAATAACGTCTCTGTGAATGGATAAAACAGCCAAGGAATTTAATCTATCTTGCTTCATTGTGTTTCTGAGATACGTTTTAATACGCTTCAGCGTGCTGAATGTTCGCTCTGCGTCGGCGGAAGAAATAGGCGTCGTCAAAATGATGTCCAGAAATTTTGCAGACGCCGCAAAGGTAGTTACTAGAGTGTTATCTATGAGGAACCCATAGAGCGCGCAAGTTGATGTGATGTTCAAAAAAGTTTGATTGGTGTATATACATCGCAATTCATTTTCCAATTTACCCACGTTTATCATGGGATAAAATTTGGAGACAGTAGCCAACAAATGGATGGGAAATTGACGTGCAAATTTTGAAAAATTTTTGGGGTTCATCAAAGATAACGCGGCAAGGTGTTCAGTGCGCAGACGATCGCCTATTTGATTCACCAGAATGTCACAGCATTCCTTTGCAGACAAAATCAAACGCTGCGTTGTTTGCCCGCGACGTAAAGAAGCACTCCATGTGTCGTCGTATTTTATTGTTTCCCGGATACGAGATACAGCATCGCAGAAGTCTGGAATACACGACTGCACAGACGCTCCATCCATTAGCCTTGACTGCAATGCGCCGTATAATACATCCACGTGATAGAATATTGTGGAGAAAAAAGCGAGAAAAAATGAAAACTCACCATCTTCTAGCAGACGCTTTAGACCTGCCGCCTCCCTCACAGAGCGTTCGTCCCAAACCGGAGAGCTCTGAATGCCATTGAAACACTCAATGAGCTCAAACCTAATTTCGGACACGCCCTGCACCACGCGTGATTGGAAGTTCCAACGTGTTGGTGCACAAGCTGGGAGACGGCGGCTACATATCTGGCGAAGGAGGTCAGAGCGTTTCTGCGAAACGGAAAAAAATGAAGAAAACCCCGAAACATTTGCAAAAAATATACGGACGAGAGGGGGATCAAGACACATAATTTTAATAACGAGGTTAAATTGGTGTGCATAACAATGTAAAAAATGCGCATGAGGAAAATCTTCTTTTATATAAACTTGAACACCATGTTTCGACCCACTCATGACTGCCGCGCCGTCATAAGTTTGAGCTATCAATTTTGACTTCGCGTTGTAAGGCTGTAACACTTCTTTCAGTACAGCCGATATCCCGCAAGCCGTGCGATCAACGATTGGTACAAAGCTGTGAAATCTCTCGGTAGGTTTACCATCTTTCACAAACCGAAAAATCACAGCCAGTTGGGAAACGCACGTGATGTCAGTTGTCTCGTCAGACTGAATCGAAAGGAACTGGCAATTCTCAATTTCCAGAGCCAAATGTTGTAAATAAATTTTATACATGAAGTCGAGCAAATCATTTTGGATATCCTTAGATGTCCTTTTCGAAACAGTTGCGGCATCAAGATGATCTCTCAATACTGTATCTAGGGATGCGGTGTATTCCACCATATCCAAAAATACCCCTCTATTAGAAGAGCCAGCCCGTTCATCGTGCCCACGGAGGGACAGCTCGTGATAACCAATGAACTTCAAAACATCTATCAATCGACCGAGAACATGGCGGTTTTTCTCGACGTTTTGGTTGTGCCGACGAATAGAAACCGCGCGTCCTTCATCCAACTGTGCTGCAATATTAACATTTCCGAATGTTCGGTATTTTACTGCATTGTCCAGATGCTCCATAGAAGATTGATGATCCCTGGCACGCTCGGAAAGTTGTTTAAGATATTTAAAACCAAATTTACACCAACGTGAGTCATGGGCGGTAGCAAAAAGTAGGCAATAAAAACAAAAAAGTGCATTTTTGTCCTCGCTGTAACACAACCATTCGTGTTTTTTATACCAAGTTTCTGCGCAGAATGTACGCCGACGCTTTCCTCCGTCATGGGATTGTTCCAGTGAACAATTTTTTGGTTGATAAGGCCCAAGACGTTGTACCTCTAATTTTTGTTCCAGCGGCAGCTGCGAAAACGGAGTGCGAAGTAGTGCATCAACCTTATTCATTATGAGGTCTAAGGCTAAGAAATGCGAAGCCGGAAAGAAGTGAGGAGCTCAAAAGGAATGTGGAAAATCGAAAGCAAATGGACTAAAGGTCTCTAACTGATTCAAATAGCGAAACAAGCGACAAAAACGAAGGCGAGGAAACTATCAACTCTTCAAGCAACCAACGAACGAGAAGGAATGCGTGAATATGTTAACACGTTGTTGTAAGAAACGTCGGCATTGTGTCGTCATAATTTCGGGGCTAGCCCCGATCGGCCCCGATGATTTAGTAAAAGAAACAGAAAACAAACGCGGCGAGTGGAAGATAAAATAGAGAATACGATATATAATGAGCAAACGGGGCAAAATCGGCGTCGCCCCGTCGACGTTCGGCGAAGACTTTGCGAGCGAAAAATGAACCATGTCGGGAGAATATGGCTAGTGTAGACAGTCTGTGCAACCAATATTGAGGTATTTTCGAATATTTTTTATTATACCGAAAAAACAACCGGGGCCTTGCCCCGGTTGGCCCTATTGACGCGCCGCCACTAAGTTGTTGGTTGGTTTCTATGTTGGACGACAGCTTATCGTATGTCGTTGAATGACGAATACAACGGTAGCGCCTTTAACCAATTTTCCACAACTTTGTCAGACACTTTAACGAGGCAATGTATTTATTATCCAACGTACGATCATGGTACAATAAGATATGATACTTTATGATCCAATACGATAATTAAATAGTGAATATGACCATTTAAATACTAAAAAACCAACACATGAAAATGGGTACTCCCGAAGTATGTGAACCAAGATGGCGGACGCCGAAACGTAGTATGTGCACCAGATCAGGGTTAGGCGTGGAACTGATATACAATATAAAAAAAACTGGTTAGACATCAAGAAATAATGGCTTGAGGCTATTTACTCAAATAAATCCAGTAAAAAACAAGTTATGAAGGTTTATAATTCTAAAAAAGTCTAAATTAACTGTTTGACTTCGTTTGATATTATTGATATAAGAAACAACAGTACAATCTTAATTAAAATAACAAGATTATCCCTAAAATATAATTAAAAGTGATTTTTTTCAAACCAATCTTTTTGGATTCAAAAGATTGAAAATTTTGCGTGGAAGTTTAATATTTAAATTAGGTACAATGCAAATATATATATAGTTCCTATCAATAGTAGAACGGCGATTTCTAAGTAAATAACCATTCTTTTGTATTTGATTATTTTTTTTTATTAAATTCTCTCCAAGACAGCTTTTCACGATACTTTCACGTTTAATAAGTTTGTAATTTCAGTAATATATTCGGTCATTTTACCTGTCGAAACAAGTGACTGCAACAGTCATAAAGCATCTACTGTTAGTTCGTCGTTTATCAATTGTTTGGCAATTTTTTTCAATTATTAATCAACATTTAAAACTAAAACTGTAAGCCTCACGTGAACGAACGCGCGTGACTCAGCATTTTATTTTCGAATCAGATGCCACGTTTAGTTGAGAGTCACTCAGTCAGTCAACAGGCGTACTCACACAGAGTGCATAGATTTTTTAGGCCAAGATAGAGAAAAGATGGGAAAATTCGACAACAAAGTTGTTATCGTCACTGGTAAGATATTTTTTGTTCCTTTTTTTGGTTCAAATTATGTCATTTTAGCTCAATATTTACTCCCACGGGCCAAATAAATCATTTTATTGGACATGAAATCTACGGATCGTTTTGTTATTGGACACAAAATGTACATATGGGTCGTTTGGTATTATATTGTTTTTGGTACTCTTGTTGGTAGTATTTCTTTCCTTCTTGTGAAAAAATCGCTTTTGTCATCCACTACTGGACCAAATGCTCCAAATTGTTTAGTGGTTAAAGATTGAATTTTTCGCCAGAAGACTATAGCTTTTATGTTTTTCAACAATTTGGGTCCCGTGTAGTTTCGCACCTAACGTACTTATGGTGGGCGGAGCATAACAATTTTTTGTCAATCCTAACCTCCATCTGACTACGCCATCCAAAAATTACGTCACAGTGACGTCATAGAGCTTGCTAAATATCGCCCGAAATGGCATCGGCAGCGACGATGCGTCGCGCGCTGAACTGGAAATATATCTCTGGAAAAGGGAGAAATAGCCGTTCGATTTCGGGTGCTCGTCTGCACGTCTTGGATGACAGTTCGTATAGTTTGAAGGGCTCTATTACGTCACTGTGACGGCGTAGTGACGTAATTTTTGAATGACGTAGTCAGGTGAGTGTTAGGAATGAAACGTGACAAATTTGTTATGCTACGCCCACTAGAAGTATGTTAGGTACGAAACTACATGAGACCCAAATATTTCTGTGGCCTATATGAGGTTCGGTTTTTGAGTGTGATGATGTCATCAAAATTAGAAAGTTCGCTCCTTGTGACAGTTTCTGTTCACGTAAGTTGAAATATGGTTCTCAGCTGCGGTACCGATACCTGGTAGTCTACTGTGGCAGATTGCATACTCGTTTTGGCCTGTATGTCCATAAATTTGAGCATCGCTCTCTTGTTAGAAACTCAATGTACATATATATATGGATCGTTTTATCGTTTTTTTATTATCAACTACGGGATCATTTGCTTTGAAACTTTCAGTTGTTAAAAATTAGAAGGTAATAATGCTAGAAGGCTATTACTTATATGGATTTCAAAAAAGCTTCTGTGAAAGACAAGGTAGACTACTGCTTTGGTTTCGTGTCCATATATTTGAGCATCGATCTTTTGTTTTATTGTGCAGTGATGTTGGTCAAACTTAGTTATGAAGTATAGGCCTATTGCTTGTTGCGGATGACATAAGCGTTTTTTTTTTTTGCTTAAATATCATTTCAATATATACCACACGGCTACTTATTTTAAGTTACTCAATCGAACCAGCGTTACTTTCTGACCAAACAAATGACAAATTACTTCCAATGAACCGTCGTTCCGGTATCAATTATCTGCTTTTATTGCTTGTAGGTGCGTCCAGTGGAATAGGTGCGTCAACTGCCATCACTTTTGCACGGGAAGGCGCAAAGGTTGTTGTTACAGGAAGAAACCAGGAAAGATTGAATGAAACTTCAGAAAAATGTAAAGCCGTCGGTGCCGAGGTGACATACGTATATGTATTAATAATTTTGCATTTTTATGATACATTCCTTGTAATGTACTGTAACATGCACTTGTGTATCTCAATTGATTTTTTCACCATATATATACGTTGTGATAAGGCCGTGAGATAGATCACGCATCAAAAATTGAATAGTCTGTCAGTCATTATTGTTTCAGTACAGAATATATTATTTTGCCACAACCTGTGTTTCTTCTATGAAGTGGTTCTCTGGAGGCCATCAGTTTCTGTTAACATGCAATTTTGTATCCAAACATTTTTTCTTTGTCTTTCACATTTAACATTCTTTCATATTTAATAATTTTCAACACAATATTATTTATTCTAAAATACATTTTTTGAATCTAATTTTCTCATTCTATCGAAATATCCTATATATGGAAAATTAGACAACAGAAATTAAAATCTGAATCTCTCCACAGCACATTTGCACCAGTGAACTGCACCCATACTGAATACTTTTGCACCCACCGATATTTACATATATAATTCTAGCACTTGCATAAAGACTGCGCGAGTGGACATTTTCACGCATAGAAGTTTGCAGGTTCAAATATATATTACATGGCCACAATCTTCTATGAGTGAAATTTCCATGGGTTGCCATTTTACGAGGGTGCAAATGCACACGCTAGTGTAAATGTCCATGGGTGTAAACATCCATGAGTGCTCGTTGTCTACTGAGCGAAAGAACTTCCAACACCTCTATATTTATTTTGATCGCAAAAAGTTTCAGCAAAGTTTAAGGAAACCGAAAGCGTTATTGGACACGAAGTGGACATAACGATCGTTTCAATATTATGTTGTTGTTGTTGTTCTTGTTCTTTGACACGTTTTTAAAAAGTCGCTTTTCTCTTCGAATACTGGACCAATTGCTTTGAAATTTTCAGTGGTTAAAGATTAATTTTTTCGCTAGAAGGCTATTACTTTTATTTATTTCAAAATTTTGCGTGAATTCTATGAAATTTGATATTTCGTCTAAAATTTTGCTGTATTATTTTTTATCCATGGGAACACGGATTTTAGTCAGTGTCATGACTGGCTGTACGTTTTGATTCTGCAAAATTCTTGCTACTGGAAATTCAGAACTTTTTTGAGGGTACCGGTAGCGTCAAAGGTACCGGTAAGGACTGATTCGCTCTGGTCTAACGTGTCCATATATTTGTGCGTAGCTCTCTTGTATTATATTGCGGTCATTCGTCAGTCCACCATTGTCCTCGATCGACCAAGCGACTGTAGCCGACTCGATGGTCTTTCTTTACAGCCTCGTCCAAATATTTTAATCATAATTTATTATCTATCCTATATAGTATATATATGAATAGAAGAATAGAAATTGTGCGTTATATTTATTGCGGTGATTTATCTGCCATTGTCATTGATTGACCAAACGACTGTAGCCGACCACATGGCCATTTCTTTACAGCCTCGTCCTAATGTTTTATTCATAATTTATTACCTATCCCATGGTATATAAATAAAATATTTTATGCCTCTATCGAAATAAATTACTACTTCTAAGGAATTCAATGACCAATGTTTAGAATTTTCAGATTCTTGAAGTAGTTGCGGACCTTGAGAAATTTAAGAATCTTGAATCCCTTGTAAAGAAAACTGTGGATAAATTTGGGGGAATCGATATTCTTATCAACAATGCTGGTTATGCAAGAGCTGAAACAATTGAAACGGTAAAAGCTTGCTAAAATCAATAGTATTAATATCCTTCTTCTATGACGTTTGTTCCTTATTTTCGGTTTCAATGTTTTGTAGATTGAGCTAGATACATATGAGAAGATCTTCAACGCAAATCTTCGTGCTCCGGTGTTTTTGTGCAAATATGCGTTGCCACATTTGAAAAAGACGAAGGGTAAGTATAGAATGAGAATTTCACAAACATTTGGGTACTGTCATAGTATGTGTACCAGGTTAGGGTTAGACCATAATTTTATTCCAATTTTCCTTATTTAAGTTCTATGACGAGTTCGGGGACTGTCTGTGTTAGCCGAGTGAATATCCCTCTGCCCATAAGTTTCAGTCCCTTTGCACAACTTGATGTAAAGTAGGCGAACAAAATTAGTTACCTCCGTATTGGTACACATACTGGAGTGTCAACATTTGTAGATGTTTGTTCAAAAATGTTCAAAATTTTTATACAGGCTGTGTTGTGAACGTAAATAGCTGCGCATCTCTTACGGCAGGCCCGGGTGGTGTTCCGTACTCGATGACGAAAATTGCGCTCGACCATTTCACACGAGGATTCTCGGCAGGTAATAAAAATTTAACAATACGTTTATTTCGTCATGCAAGAAATCATACACAATTCAAAGCACAAATTAATTATAAAATGCGGCAACGGATTTCATTGCAATTGACAGGAAGTCGCGAGGGACCAGAAATGGTTTTCCTAAGTCTGAGAGTCAAAAATTGAAATAAAAAAAAATATATACTTAAAAATTTTTCCAACAAGGGGGCGATTAGTACAAATATCCACCTATAATTTGAGAATGAGAAACAAAAATTGGGGAAATACAATTGAGACAGTAGTTCTAAAAAATGGTTCACCATATCATTCAGCTGTACTTCTGTACGATTACAGCTATTATTAAAAAGGGGAGCAATAAACTAATTCATTTTCTAATTACATCTCCAGCATTTTTCCTCATGCAGTGGCATTTTGAGCAATAAATATGAATTATCACATGAAAAAGAAATTGACATTTAAACAAAAGTTCCTATACATGCACACTGAAGTCCATCGACTAATCACAGTGCCGGTAGCCTATGTGAAATACTGATCAACGTACAGCGACAAACACACGACTAACAACAAGAACTCAGCCATATGATTCGTATATTGAATTCGTTCTTGTAGTACTTTGTATAACGACTTATTCTTAAAAACCTTTGCAATTGTGAAGATGTAATCAGCGATCGCTTGCTTCCCCCGTACAACTTATTTGTAAAATGACGCTCTGAGTCGCAATTTTGTTTACAATTTTAATAAAATATTCATGGTTATTTTTTAGAATGTGCACCATTTGGAGTCCGGGTCAATTGTGTGAAGTAAGTACCGTTACATGTTTTCATATATATAAAGCATATATACTATAATTTATTTATCAAAGCATTATTTCCAAAAACCCAAGGTAAGGACATTTTCATTAGTATATTGAGACTCGATATCGGCGATCCCAGGAAATGACATCGAGAAAAGTATTAATATTTATATATCTCATTAAAAAGTTTCGATCGCAACTTTGAAATATCACTTATGTTTTCAGTCCAGCAGCAACTGACACAAGATTCGGAGATAATATGAATGTGACTAAGGAAATGTTTGAAAAGGTAACTTGGATGAGCTGGAAAGTATATTTATAACAACTGCAATTGTTTACGACGGGCTTCCGTCGGGGGGCCGAGTAGAGTACACCAATTTCACACAGAGTATTATATCTATTATACTTTTTTCGACTTTTTATTAGAAACACAATTATTGAAACTACGGTATACTCGGTATAAGTATGTGGACCATGATGACGGACACCGGGACGTAGTACAGTATGTGTATCAGGATAGGGTGACTCCATAATTCCAGGTACAAATACTATACGGGAGTCACTAGTCCCCGAACTCGTAATAGTACTAAAATATGGAAAAGTGGAATAAAATTATGGCCTATCCCTAACCGGATACACATACTACGTTCCGGTGTCCGCCATCTTGGTTCACATACTTTGGGAGCATCAAAACTAATGCAAAAGATAAATCTCACGATTTCGAGAGAATACATACAGAGCAGCGACGCGGGTCGCGAAATTTCCAAATTGGAAAGGGTCGCAAGCTCAAAAGTTTAGGAAACCCTGGTTTATTTATTTATTTTATAAGAGGTTTGTTTAATAACTATGTTCGCTAGAATTAAATTAATACTCATTTAGATGTTGGAAAGCTTCATGAAGCGACAACCTTTGGGAGTCATCAAACCTCAACAAATTAGCGATGCTATTGTGTTCCTCTGTCAGTCTCCCGTTATCACAGGAATCAATCTCCCAATAGATGCTGGAATGCTTAACGCTCCTGCTATGTAATACTTTTATTCCACTATTGGAAACTGAGTATTTTCATACATTGCCCGTTGATATCATATCAAAATATATTCCCACCTGTCGTTTAGGGTCTGTGATCAAATTTGTATATATACAGTTTAATTATCATGTTTGATACAAAAATGGACTCCGAGATTAAAATTTGAAACAAAAATTGCTCCAGATTGCACGAGTTGAACCGGTAAAAGATGTTCATATTGGGCGCGAAACTGTATATTTACAGTTCCAATGTGATGATCGTCTCAATCGCAGGTGGGGGCAAAATGTGGAACGGCCATATTGTACAGTTAGTCCAACATTTCATACTGAATTTACAATTTTAGCATGCCGAAGTTTAGAGTGATAGAAACTAGAGGAGTACATGAGTTTTCGCGACTACGGGTCGTAAAATATCGGGATAATAATACGATTTAGTTTAAATTCTGGAGTTGTTGAATTCAGAAACGGTTTTTTGAAAGCACTAATCAGCCCAATATGAGCCGAAATTGTAATTTCTCTTAACGGCTTTTCGAATGAATCGGATTTGAGCAAATATGAACAAAGCAATGTTGTCTTATAAGGTAATCTATGTAAAAGTCATTTTGGGTATATTATCGCCACAGAAATTCTGGGCGAAAAAACGTTTGCTCTGTGAATGAAATGATTATGAATCAGTGGCAATTTGTAGAAAGCCATGATGATTGTTGTGCAGTGCTTCTATGTCTGGGACGGTGTTCAATATAAATAAATCCCTGTCTCCTACACTTTGTTGTTTAGAATTTGACGACATGGCCCTCAAAATAATTAAGGAACCAGTGTAATAAAGTCGGGGATAAACCGACTCTAGCTCGGACACCGGGAAAAATCACATTGTATATACTTTGTCATTGGCATACGCCCTTTTATAGACTGTCGGGACCGCTTGGTCAATTTAATTTTTCTTGAGTTTCGGCAGAGAATTTAGTTCACGATTATCTTCATGAAAAGCCTGAATTTCCCACTCCGCATATTTCAAAAGTTCGATCCCGACTCCACAGCCCGGTGAGAAACACTCTTTCTCCAACAGCAGTGGCAGTTCAGCCTTTTTGGTGTGGCGGAATCCCCAATAAAACACTCAAGAGGCTTGAATAACGCCTGTGTAATAGTCTTATTCAGCGTTCTCAAACGTTTCTGCTCCGGGTCGCCCACGCTTTTCATCTCGCCTTGCCAGAACATCAAGAAATTAGAAGGTAAATTTGATGATATTAATATCGTGTAACTTATGTATCAACTTGCACAACCGGCTTATCTCGATATTATCCGAGGCTTCTAGTTTTAAGTCTTTGGGAAGGGCGGTTTCCAAAAATTTAGACTATGGTAAAATTAAAAAAATTGTAGTGAACTTAACAATTAAAAAATTAGGCCGACAATTAACGATATCGAACGTTTGACGGAAATACCATGCTCTCCAGTCTGGCACGAGGCCTGTCCGCCTGTTTGTCTCCAATTGGGAGACAAATTCGCAACCCAGAGGCGCCGAAGTAGGATAGAGATCGACATGGAGACCAATTTAGTCGCAATTACGCTCCGAAAAAGCTCGCGGAACACAGTTTGATAAACACTGGTCTAATTGTATAAACCAGTGTGATTCCTAACCTTTTATATCGCGTGGCTTTTAGCACTCATGGCTCCCAGTCCATCATTCCAGCGGTATGCACGGTGTATTTTGATTGGTAGGTTCCAAATCCTATTATGCCCAAACAATTCAGGATCAACAAATGTGAAATGTCCTCATCAAGCATTGAAACTAGGAAGATCGGAGTTTTCTTCTGGAGGGAAAAGTAAAAACATTTTCGCGCTTGGCCCCTCGATTGGGAACCACTGGTATAAACTGTAAATATGTATAAAAAAAGCAATCGTTTTTTTTGACGACCTATATCCACGCGGAGATGGGTAGAACTTATCGAGTAGAATCAAAGTGTGTTGAACCGTCAGGTAAAAACGTAGAGACAAAATAGACCTTTGCTGGACTATAAACTAATATTCCACGCTAGCTAATTCAATTTAGTATCGTTTTTTTTGACTTCTTGAAAAGCCGCGTCTCACTAGTATGAATATCCAATCCCCTTAAAGCTAATATCTATCCTAACCCAAAACCTAGCAGGCCTAACTTGACCTAAACTTGTAATAATACTCTAATATTCTATCCCGAAACATGATGAATTGTCTTCTCATGCTGACTTCAAAATTTACTTCACAAGGTATATCTTTCTATCAACTCTAACTCAGAACAGTGGGAAGAATAGACACGTGTTCTTAAAGGGAACAAGTGAGACATGATATTTTAGAGACAACGTCGACACTTCACCTTTTATCCGTACCTTTGCTCAGTCGAACTACTGATACCAGTGACGCAAACCTCAAAAAATAACTATGGTAACTTTTCTTTAATAATGCTGAAAATATTTTTTCGAACTCAAATAATGAAAAAGCCACCGCAAAAGAAATATCGTCACCAAAAAGAATTGGGCATATATTCGTAAATATGACGTCACCATTACAGGTATGAGGTAACAAACGCAATATTTTCGAAACCACAAAAGATAAATTTTTGTCACGATGACGTCATAATACAAGAATAGGGGGACGTATGTTAGTAACACCCAATCAGAAATTACTTTTTGCCGAACATAAACCATAACTGATTTATATTTGGCCGCATGTAATATTCTTTCTGATTGGGTCAGATTGTAATGAACACAGGCACGCGTATCGAAATGTGTAATCACACGAAAAGAACTAAATTCGTGCGAAACGAAAAACAATCAAAAATTCACACGTTTGCTCATAATAATACAAGTAAAAAATACTTTTTTTTCTGCAAAAAGCGAAAACAAACGAAAAAAATTTATTTTACAGAGGGGCATTATTTATATAATATTTATATAGAAAAGGGCACTAAAGAAAAATTTTTGACATCTTATCGAAACTTTTCTCATAATGAACGAATAAACAACAAACAGAGCATGATTTACAGAAATTTACTATAAAATTCAAGATTAAAGATTTTTATTTTTTCATAATGATTCAGATTTTAAAACGGAAGGCACATTTTATGGGTTTTATCAAACGAAATAAATCTACAACACTTTGGTTTATTTTTTATACTTTTCAAACACAATTTAAATCAAGCAAGATCCTAGTTCTTACGCGCTTTGCGTATACAAGGAACATGCTAGAACAACATATCGAAAAAATACAAATTTACCAATAATTTCACTCACAGCGACCAGTAACGATGCTCAGAGTGAGCAGCACAAACCCTTGTGTTGATAAACGGAAAAATTCTGACTGGGAGTACAGCAGAAGTTGGCTTCTGCTGGTTCAGAATCGAAAACAAATTTTATATATTCGAAGTTTAAAATAAAAATAAGGATATAATAAAGAAATAATAATATATAAGGGTATTGCCTTAAAAACGAAAAAAAGAAGAAAAAATTTACTGAAACGAAATTCAACAATTGCAATATTACTGGTGTAATATAATACCACGAAGTTATCTTCGGCTTGAACTTTGTCCATACGTGATTTGTCGATAAAGAAACATGTACGTATGGGCGCAATTCGAGAATAATATTCGTCATTAAAGAATAATGATGTTATTAATATTTAATTGCGAGGCCGAAACGAAGGCAAGTCATTTATTTGTGAAAGGAAAGAAAACATGATTGAGGCATTACAAGACCGGGTGACGTCATCAAACGACGTCATAATAGCTAGCAGATAATTATTATTACTGCAAATATAAGTAGTCTGTTTGAAATATTTTTCCAAAGTCAGGCATTATAAATTGGGATTTTTTTCAACGGGCCATTTCTGACCCAAATGTGCACCACGGCCTGAATACGCGGCTTATCACCTCTTTATCGGTGGCCGCTGATAGCCCTATTTAAAAATGTGACGAGCTGACACTGTCGCGACAGTTTCTATTCCCGTCATACTGAAATCCGGCTTTCCGCGATACTTCGACTGTTTATACACCGGTTCCGAATAGAATTATCCGGATTAGGCCCGTTGCGGACTCCGGCTTCACTTTTCTTCGTTCTCCTCATCGACTAGCATTTCGGACATCAATGGCGGCATGGCGCTTTTCGGGAGCTCACTTCTGATGGAAGCCGCTCTATCCGCACCTGAAAACAGAAGACGAATTTTAAATAATTATCATTTATTACGTCATAGTGATGGTAATATTCAATCAAATCGCTAGAAATAACTTGCACTTACCTTTAAAACCAATGCATCTCAAGTCGGCAATTTTCATCAACATTTTTGGGAACACATGAGGTTTATTTGGACGGCGTTTACGGGCGTACCATTTTAAACCTTCGACTAACGGCTCTTGCAGTTCTTCCACTTTTTCAGGCTGTTCCAGTTCAGGACGATCTACGAAAATTTAAAATTTTCCAAATTGCGACTAAGTTAGAGTTGGTAAAACTCATTGACATAATTTGATGCTAATGAAGAGTAGAATATTAGTTCACGAATCAAATCGAATATTCTAGTTTATTATCAGCTTTCAGTATTTAATTTTTTTTAATCGTGAACTAACAGGAATTTCATAGATAAAAAAAACAGCTACGAATGGGTATATTGAGTGCCTATTACAACATATTCGCAAGTTTCTATCTAATCTATGTTAAAAATTGATTCCCTCCAATTATTGTGTGATGATCGGGCAAAATTCTGCTAAAACGCGTTTTTCGTAATACCGTACTACATATATCTGGGTGTTTAATTAGTCCCTATCCGCTTCGAAATTTGAAAATAATACAATAATTAACTGAAAACATTGACGTTTCGACAACATACAAGTCATATGGCTATAGTTCTACTTTTTGAAAACTTAGCATACACACTGTACCAACCACCTATCTAGCAACAAGATTTTTCTTACCTGCGCATATCAAGCAAATCGCACATAACAATCCTCCTTCGGTGTGATCGAGCTCAAACGGTGTGAGAGATTGAGCGAATCCGAAGACCTGAAAATACCATGAAATCGAGTTATGATGACGTCATTACTGGGACGCCAAAAAAATTTAAATTTTTTTGAAGCATTTGTTTTGAATTTTTTTTATATAACGAAATCTAATAAAACATATTATATTAATTGGTTGTGGATTGGGGGTATATTTTTGATGTTGATAAAGGATAATTAATTCTAATCATTGGCCACAGGTAAACAACTCATCGCTAATAGCCCACGCTTGTGTGAGATAGGAAGTAGAGAACGTGCATTACAAAACGATCTCGGAGTCAAAAAGGACATTGCTGGGCTAATCTCAGGGTCATTTATTAATATTTTTGTAATAAACAAGGAAATTGTTGTTTGAATAGGCCGGATTATATGTTATGTTTGAGATGAGATTATATGTATAAAGAAGCAATGCTTGTAAAATAACATCCACCTTTGAAACATGATGAACAATTTTACTTTTGTTTTATTCGTGAGACATTATAGATGTCAGAAAATGTATTTTATTAATAACATTTTTATGATTGTTTTCACCTTTTTATTCTATTTTTTAGTGTAATGTTCGATTATTAGAAACACTTCATGACGACAGGATACAGAAATTAATTTTTTTTTCATCTGGCCAATAATAGTAATACTATAATAATAATTCCAAAAGTAGTAACAACCCTTTGCACTGATCCTTGCTCATGGTGAAACGTCATTGAAAAATAGTGATGGGTATAATCTAAGATCTTCTTACTGAAAATGTAACATTAGAAAGTGCCGCATGTGCAATAAGTACAGTACCTGTTCTGTCATGGGTCCAAATGCACAATTCCGGAGTTGTGTTCTGGTCAAAGTAAGACCATCGGAAAATGACATTGTGTCTTTTGTTGCATCATAACGACTACAGATGCGAAAGAACTGGAAATAAATTAAAACAGTGAATAAAAATAACCACATATTGTTAAAATTTGCAAATTATGAATTTCGAAGGATTTCACATCAAAGTAAACATATAAATCGAGGGTTGAAAATTTGAAACAGAAGTTTTAAGAAGCCTGGGATTGGAAATGTTTATAAGTAGAATCGGAACCTCTGAAACATTGTAGGGGTCAAAGGTTATTCGAGTTTCGATTCGAGTCTCAGTCCCATCAATCACTGAGTTAAGTCTCACAGGCGAGAAATAAAAAAATGATGAAAATTTAGTAATGTAAAAGAAATACGAAACTTACCAAAATTTCGAGGCAAGCGCTTTTGAGTAAAGTAATCTGATCAGCAATAGTGAGGTCGGTAAATCCAGGAACAATTTTTGCAAATTCGACAATTTTGATGATCGATTTTGTAGAGAGATCGGAGAATTTGCTCCAGAGCCACAAGTCCAAACCACCTGCCCCACCGGGCGGTTTTGTGTCGGCTTCTGGCGAAGGAGGCTTTACAACTGGTGGCATCTTCGGAGGGGCGGCCTCGCCATTCTTTTTCTGTAATGATAAATTTTTAAGAATGTGTTATGTTATGTTAAGCTCGGGACCGAGAAAATCCATGATGGGGGTGAATGGTGATAATTCAAACAAAAAGCTTTTCAAAAACTTTTTTTAAATAAATGAGATTAATATTTTAAATTACTTTTTTTATGATAAAATTTGCCTTTTTCGCGGCTATATTTCAATTTATATCAATCTGGAAATTATTTAATATAATATATCATAAAAATGCCGCATGATATGTTTTTTCACAATATTTTAAAATGAAAAAAGGCAAAATTTTAGAATACTTTTAATCATAATAATGTGACACTGCGTTTTAAATCAAATCATCACAAGAATTTGAATAATTCAAAGATTCAATTCCATCTAGGAAAAAATGAATTTAAATTAATTTCGCGTAATGATTTGTTTATTACATCTTGAATTCAAGTCACCAGTCGCGATTTGGCCTACTATTTATGCTCGATTAACGATCATAATTGAAAAGTTTATGAAAAATTTTTTTGTTGAATATGTCCGACCTCATTATAAAGTATACCTACATAAATAGCGAGCGAGGGGTAGCTACCGGCTCTTCCACAATTTTATTCTGATTTTTCTTATTTTAGTTCTATTACAAGTTTGGGACTGTCTATGTTAGCCAAGTGAATATATCCCCTGCCAATAGGTTTCAGTCCTTTTACACAACTTGATGTAAAGTGGGCGAACAAAATTAGTTACCTCCATATTGATACACACACTTCTGTGCTGCTCCCGAGATGGAGTCTCAGTTTTTGGGAATGTTTTTTGAACTACAATCCCATATGCCATATCAATGCACCTTCCAACCTTAACCTCTATACTCAGAGTTTTTCTGATAAAAGATACTCACGCAATCATATTTCTGCAGCGTTTCACTCAGCGGAAAAGTATCCAAATGAGCTTTTGATACAACTTGTACAATATTTTCAATCTCTGGCGTCACAACAACTTCTTCGGTTGTCTGTCCGTTGTTTCCACTGGGAGATGTCTCGCCAGGCTTTCCCTCCTTTTCCTTTCCACGTTTCTTGTTTCTATCGTTACGAACGGCTGGAAAGGAAATTTTATCTAAATCAAATTTTATTTGCAATCTTGGGTTGGAGTCGATCGGATATTGATTCGGCATTATGAAGAGTTGCGGTGTCGCCGGATTTGAAGTTTTGAGCCAAAATTTTCAAAAGAACCCAAAAAGATACTCGCACAAAATTTGAGTATTCAGGAGTATGAGTCGATTTTCTGATTCCGGATTCACCAATCGGAGTCTTGAGTTAGTGTTGAGAATAGTTGTGAGGTCCGGATGAGCTTGGAATTTATTTTGACAATATATACTTACATTCTTTCAACATTCCAACTTGAAAGCATTGTTGTAAACGACAGTACTGACATCTACTTCGGGTTGATTTGTTGATAACGCAATTTTTATTCCTGTGGCAAGTGTACTGCATGTTCTTTTGAACTGATCTACGAAAGAAGCCCTAAAGAAGTATAACGATGAAGAAAATTATCACTAGTAATTTTTTACAGAATCAAAAAATGAATTGAAACAAAAAAACGTGACTGAACAATTGACCATTTTCCTCATATGACGTCATCGTAATTTGAACATTCACGCGCAGCGGCGCCATCTTTATATTTTTGAATCATGTATTGCAACGCAATCACGAATGATTAGGATAAATGATGCCTCACAGCACTATTTCCGTTCCGAGTTGGTATGACGTCATCGAGCGTGTTTGCAACGGCGTTTAACATTAATAAAGTTAGAATCAGACAACGTGAATGAATAAGCATAAAAAAATACGTGTTATTATTTCAACTATGATTTCATAATTCGGACAAACGCACCGTGCATTAAACACGCATCATAATAATATGCGCTGAAACGTTGTGCTTAACGAAGCATGAAGTCACGTGAAAATAGAACTCAAATTGATAGCAGGCATTAGCCTAATTTTCAGCGCTAGCACGGTTTCACGCGTCGATAGAGTTTAGCTCATTTGTCTTCATTACGGAATATGTCATTACTATTTTTCAGTGGGGAATTTTTTATGCACGACTGATATTGCGCTCTATTTCAATTCCAGCGTTTTTTGATAAATGTTTTCGGCGCTCGAAAAGTGAATGTACCAATATGGAGGTAATTTTGTTCGCCTACTTTACATCAAGTTATGTAAGTTATGTAAAGGGACTGAAGCTTATGGGCTAACACAGACAGTCCCCGAACTCGTAATAGAACCGAAATGAGGAAAATCGGAATAAAATTATGGCCTAACTCTAACCTGGTACACGCACTACGGAAGTACTATTTTCTGTACCTTATAATGGGCAATCTCAAAATGTTACTATTAGTTTATAAAATAATTCCATACTAATAACAATTTTTGTAACTTTACTCAGAGGGCAATCTCCTTTATTTGTGAGTGAGTGCGCTTGCTTTGGGTACACGTTCATAAAAGTATGTGTTGATATATCTCACTGCTTTGCGCAAAGCAAATTTTTAAAATGCCTTCAATTAGGCCGTGCTTTGATAAGCTTGGGTGTTTACAACAATTCGGAAATGCTGATGGCGTAGCACGCATTTCAACGATCTCCTAATTTGGTAATGACGTCACGAAGCATCCCCATCGGAGACCAATTGCTAGTGCAATAACAAGTCATGTTCACACGGTATGGTTTACAACGCTGATCGAGGTCAATCGCGAGAAAACGTTGCTGATTCGAATCAAACTGATTTTTTTATGACATGTAATCGAAGATATTTATTATTCATTTTATTAACATTTTATAAAAAACAAATCTTTTTTTCACAAATTTATTATTTGCATTATGAATCTTATTGGAGTCGGAAAAATTTGAAAAAAAAAAATACTGAATAATTCACATTTTTGCAATGCAATCGCTGGATATTTCCAAAAAATTAGCTTAAACGGAATTCAATGATAATAACATTAAACAAGATAGCATTGATTATTTTAATTTTAAATTTCAGATAATCGAGCAAGCTGACAAAAAATTAAGCCTTTTAAAGTCAAATTTTGTGTTGTAAAAACAAATTCATCAAAGAAAATCGCGATAATGTACATTCTTTCCCACTAATGTGGTCTAAAAGGGTTAATTTGCAATGAATAGCATAAGACATGTAAATCACAAGATCGTCTCCCAAGTGAGATCAGGGTTTATGTCGTCACAGAGGCGCCTTTTCGAAGTATTTTGACATTTGTTACATCGCGGTAAAAAGAACACACCAGGGCCAAGCATGAACTGCTATTAGATTCCGCTTTTGAATGGAAGATTATCTACAATAGGTACTAGGACGCGGATAAGTAATAAACTAATTTACGTCGTAAAGTGACGAGAGTAATACAGACTTTCTAGAGCGGAACTCAAGGGATTTACATATTACGAACGAGCAAAGTGCCAATTAAAAATGATTGACACATTTTTATCAATTAATATACAAATATCTCGGACAGATTATTCAAAAATAAAAACGTACTATGACGTCACCATACCTTGCATCCTTCGCAAGAAGCGACTCCATAATGATAACCGGACGATTTGTCTCCACATACAAAGCAAGGCTTGTAGACTCTTGGTGGAGGCGGGGGTGATGGAGGCTGAACATAGTGAGGCACAATAGCTTCAGATTCCGATCCCGAAGCACTGCTACTGGCAGAGGATAGTCCAGCGCTGTCTGGAGACGCTGCAAAACAAGAAAAAGATATTTATGAAATACGTCATCATCGTATGACGTCATAAAGAAACAGAACAGAAATATTCTTGCTCAAAAAACACTCCATATTCGTATAACCGCAATGTCGTTCAACGACTTCACATTTCCAAGTGGTTTCGTTGAATGATGCTTAGGTAGGTTATTTTTGTATCGACCGACACACGCGTTTGCGGTTTCCACAGTCAGGGCTAGGCAACAGTCAATTCAATTATGTACGCATTGCGGGATCGAAATTAGCCGGGGAATGCGTATTCGTAATCGACTCGGTTTGCAGCTAATGGAGCTTAGAAGAAAAGTAAATTTCATGGTCGGTATTATATTTCACCTAAAACAACGATATAAATAAATAGGGATATAAGAATATATCCGAATTAAGCAATCGTGCACTGAAATTCAAATCGCGTATTTAAAATTTATACACACATCTAGAAGCATAATCCCAAGCGTAGTACGATGATTGGTAGTTCGGGGGTGTCACGTGAGGTCCAGAAAGCTGCTGATTGGGTGAAAATTGCATGTTGTGACCTTGCGGGATTCCTTGTTGATGATGATGCCCAGGATATCCCATCCCTTGACCGGCGTGATGATGACCGTTCAAATGGACCATGGATGGAGGGGATGAATCTATCATCATACCACCGTTGGTCGAGAATATATCGGACAATATACCGTTCATTCTACTACGCCATTGTTCTTGAAATTCAGTCATATTCATGGTGACTGATAAATTTTCGCGACTTTGTTGTGATTTTAGTTAGTATTAGGATATTATAACTGAACATTGATAAAAGCAAGATGTTAACATAAGGTAATCATTCCGAGGCACACTCTGAAATAGGCTTTAGACAAGCAGCCATAGATAAAACTATCTATAACGAAACGACCGGAATCTTCAATTCAGTATCAGCCTATTTATTTTATTACATCCCGGCTGTGATAGGTTTGATGTAAACCAGTTTATCACCTAATTAACTAGAGCTTGAACCCAAGATCTCTTGATTAAAGTTTATTATAGTTGCAGCAAGTTAATATCCTCTTAAACTACAATTTAATTGTTGTCCAAATACATCTTATTTGTAAGCATTTCCTAAATTACAACATTCAACTGTTAAGTCTAATCGACAATAAATCGCTTCGCGTACATTATATTATTCGTAGAACTACAGTTAATCGTGTTAGTGGTACGATTACTCGAAGAGAAAACATATTGTTGGGGGGGTACTAAGGTGACGGGTTGGGGGTACTAAGGTGACAAGGTCAAGAGCAGTGCGTATCTCGTAAAATAGTTGCGCTATCCTTGTAACCCGGTGAGAAATAAACTTATGCAATCATAATGGTCAAATAGTAAGCTAGAACCCTACTAACGAATAGCCTACAGCATTCTAGGAATCGAAAAATCTTACAATTCTAAACCATTAGGCCATAATTTCATTCCAATTTTTCTTATTTTAGTTCTATTGCGAGTTCGGGGACTAGCAAGTGAATCCCGTAGTATTTATACCTGATATTATGGCCTAACCTAAATTTGGTACACATACTACGTTCCGGTGCCCGGCATCGTGGTTTACATACTACGAGAGTACCCACTTTTGATGTTATGAGGAAGCCACGCGCAGGGGCGCCTTCAACAACTTTCAAGATCTGAAGATTGTGCCTCTGTACTAACTACACACTGACTCGAATGATTTAGGCATTGCAAAAAACTATGGCTGGTAAAGCGTACGTGACTGAAAAAGAGATATTCATCTGCGGCCATGTTTTACAGCATATTCAGTCTGTAATATACCGAAATAATAAAAACCAACTATCAACATAAAAACATTAATCTAGCCGAAAGCTATTTCACAGTGGGGAACATTTGCATACATTTTTGAATCTTGAATTAAATCTTGATATAATTGAAATTAATAACTATTTTGAATGGATTTTCCTCGGCGTATCTATGACCATGGATGTTGAAACATCCGTAGCCACAGATACGCCGAGTAAAAACCCATTCAAGTATGAATCAGAAATTGATATGATTAATTTACATGATATTGATTAGTCGAGACAAAAACAGTGTTCCTGATAATATTTTTCAACATTTTTTTTTAAATTTGCATGTTTAAAATTTGATAAATTGGTACTTTCTGATGGATTCACAAAGTCTGTAAGACGGAATAAAAACTTATTCACAAAAATACGCCAAACTAAATAACGGTTCAGTAATTTTTAGTACCTGATTGGTCTTTATTATACTATTATCAGAACATATGTGGGTTGGGCCACAATTTTATTCCGATTTTCCCTATTTTGGTTCTATTACGGGTTCGGGGACTGTCTGTGTTAGCTAAGTGAATATTCCCCCTGCTCATAGTAATCAGTCCCTTTACACAACTTGATGTAAAATAGGCGAACAAAATAAGTGACTTCCATATTGGTACACACACTTCTGGAGCGCCCACATGTAGGCCATAGATACAAAGTAGTCTTCTCAAGTATGATCGAAGTAACTTCACCAGAGCGTGAATGTGTATATAAGAGTAATAATTCACATTTAGAAAAGCGTAAAACCGTAAAAACGTGCGATCGTGAAACGAAAATCAAGATAGAACATGATCATACGTCTTACTCATTGGCACATTTGGTTGTTTACCGTTTCACATTGCATAAGCGTTGTATAAGTTTGCTACTTTACATTTGAGTCGAAAAAATATTAATCATCAGTCCCTACATTATTCATAATTTATTTGAAAGCTAAATTACGGCCTGTCTGAGTACGCTAACAATGATTTCAAGCTTTTGAATCGCTTTTTCTCAAAATGGTAATCTTATGTAGAAACATCGACCACGTATTAAAAATTTTCATCTAAATAGCCTTGAAGGTAACAAAAATGCTTACAGCTAAGCTTCGATACTTCGCAATACCTATTTGAACCTTCCTACCTGTAGAACAGCGCAATAATAACGAAAGCGGTGTTTCCTGTATGTACCGCAATAGCTTACAGCCAACGCTTCGCCTGTGTACAGTCGAGGCACGTTGTGCATGCGACGGTAACCGCAAGATAAATTTTTAATAATTTTCACGAAGAAAGCAACAAAACACAAGAGAGAAAGAGAGAAAAAGAGCAAGTGCGTTTGTGCGATAATTAAACCCAAATGGACCAATGTCGATGTTGAAAATCATAATAGTTTTCGTGCTACCGCCAAGATTGCATAACCTGCGGCATGGTTGGAATACAGATAAAAAGGAGTGATAAGAGATAATTTGCTGTCATGCACACACATCAAATGATCACAGCCATGGAATTAAAAATGAATAATCATTCTGTATCTTCAATGCAAATTCAAGACCCGAAATTTATTAGCAAACATATCACCTAAATTCGACATTCTTTACATAAAATTGAAATATAAATAACTGGTGCTACACGCTCCTAACAGGAATATTAGTAATTCTTACTTGCTGGAACGGCAAGTGACCAAATAAAATTTCAGCTGGAGATTTCCAAAGAAATTGCTGACATGGTGTCGTTCCGGTCGATTAATTTTATACGGATTCTTAAACGGCAAGAATTTTTTTCCTAGTCGAAAAATTTGTTAAAGCACGTCTTTTTTCTTGTAATATTAGTACAAACATAATGATAAAACGCAAACGTTAGCAAAACATAATATAAACAAATCGTGCTGGCTTTATCGGTGACGTAATTTGTTGGATAAAAACAAGCGCCATCGTGTGGTTAAATTTGACCTCTTTGTGACCCTTTAAAATAAAATGAAACTTTATTCAGTGCGACCACCAAACCAAATGCCACAAGACCACTGTAAAATATGCACAACGTGTATTACGAAAATTTGACTCATAATATGAACTTTAATGAACGGTATAGGATTAGATTAAAGATATATGTTACGAAAGTCTGCGTCAAGATTGTAGATTCCTATCCATGGTCCTTGTAATAGCACACATGATTGCAATTACAATGCCTATTCAACGAGATGCGGCTTGTAACGCGAAGATCGAAGAATTAGCCCCAGGCACACACACATTTGCTATCACAGCCACGGCTTCTTGTTATATTGTTTATGACGAAAATTTAATCGTGAAATCTAGAATGGATCTAAAATCGCGGTGTGACTCACGAAAAAGTAAATAAAGAACTCGTGACGTCAGCGAACAGCAACAACCTGGCCCGTAAGTTCGTAACCACAGATTTCAGGACAGAATAAATGTATGGTTTCAAAATAGCATTGGCGACTTGGACCCTGCATCATTTCAAATTACAGAAATAATCATCAAATAAGTCATTTTCCTACATAAAATTATATAGGATACCATTAATAATGAAAATTGTGTTTTCTGAGGTAAATTTACAATTTTCGTTCGTTCGCTCCTGTTGGCGCCAATTTTTACATTTTAATTTTCCAATAAACATCATCAATTTAAGAAATTGGCGTGTCGAATTGTCTTCAAAAATAATAAAAAACACAATGCGACAGTTTGGGTCGAAACTTGACAAAAAATGTGGCACAAAAAATGGAAAACCTATCCATAATTAATACCCCAAGCTGACTGTGTTGATACTATCAACACACGAAATTTTACTTAAATTCAAATTTCTACAACCATGCTTGTGACGTACTTGGCCCTTGTACTACAGAACAGCGACCACGATTGTCGCCATGGAGACAGAAATCCCCGTATCGTCCCCGGAAGCGCCGAAAGCCACATCCGATAATACTGTATATAGACTAATTGAAAAGCGCATGCTTATGCAGGCATTAAAAATTCACGCAAATTCATGCTAGAAAAATAAAATAAAACAAAAGGCGCGGCGTGAAGCGGAAACGACCTTTTCAGTTATACAATGTCATCGATATGTCATCACTTGCCCCGTTGTGAAACTACGAACGTCCAATACATGCATTCACACTTGCAATCAAGAAAGCATATCAAAAAAGCACGACTTTCCTAGTCCAGACTTGAC